GTAGCAGATCTGATTACAATTAAAGCAAATACACATTTTTATTTTCGTTTTGTTTTCATACAGAGAGCACCCAGAACAGGAGGAGAGGCAGCTCTCCATCCACAGCAGGCTATTTTCTGAGAACGGTGTCATGGGCCATGTAGTCACACGCCAGCATTTGAACCTGCATTAAAGACAGCGATGGCTCTGAGAACAGCTTGGGAGCACGCTGGCATCCTCATGGCTTGTGTTACAGACCACGATTCTGCTGTCAAACAGAGGCCTCTGTGCCCTGCTGTACAGGGCAGCATTCAGCCCAGGAGCATTTGGCCATCTCTGTGTGGAGCAAAGCATGATTTAGGGGGTCGGGTTGTTGTTTTTTTTCATTTGTTTTGTTTTTTTTTTCCTGTGGTGAGGAGATCTGTGCACGTTACTGTGCACAGCTTGCTTGCTGTGGAGCTCAAAACTCCAAAGGCAAATAGATCCACCAGCTGTTGGAAAGCAAGGATGGCTTTGGAGTAGGTTTCTTGACAGGCGCACAGAGTTGCAGAGGTGATGGATGGCTGTCAGCTGGGAATCATTGCTGTGACATGGAGCAGCCAGGGGAAACAGAGCAGAATTGATACTATGCTCACTTGCTGACTTGCAAGCCCCATGCCTATCTACTAGCCCTGCAGCAGTGGCATGTCCCTCTGCTTTCAGAGTCAGGGAGAAGGCATCATGGCGACTCATGGCATCCTTCCCTCCTGCATCCCTCCTCCTCTCCTCTTCACAACTTTGTAAAAGGAATTTATTGCTGGGAAGCGAGCTGGGGGTCAAGGAGGGTTCAGGGAAAGAAAAGGTCTTAAAAGGGCTCACTGCTGCTGCAGCAGGCAGCACACAAAGTGTGCTGCACTCTGTTGGGATGCAGATAGGGAAGAGTTGTGTTTTGGTAAATACTATGGCTGCAAGAGATGCAAGTTACAAGTGTGTTGGGCTTTCCTTTTGTTTGAATGTAATCAGGAGCTCTGAGGAAAACAGTTTGATTGCTCTGAATCTGGATGCTTGCCAGCCCAGAAATAGAAGGATATCCATAATCCACTGGGGATGCAGCACAGGGCTTGTGTAGAAAACATTTTGCAAGGTCAGGCTATGTGGCTTGGATTTTTTTGTATCTGTTGCTGTTAGATTGAATGTGAGTGTTCTGCATTTCCAGCTCTAAGCCAAGAACTTGTGAGATCCTTATGGGCATGGTGTGAAGGACATCTTTCTGGGAGGACAAACAGAAGAAGCCCTTAGGGTTTTACCTTGTGTTCTCAGTACCTCTCACTGGTGTTCCTCTGCATCCTTTCCTATCAGTTTCTGCTCCCATATGTATATGCACATGCATTGTATTTTATCTTAATAGATGTAGTGTTATTGCTGGGAGAGCTTGTGGTAAAGAGGATGAAATACACCTGTGGTACAAGAAGTGATGTGCTGCTAATGCTTTCATTTGCAATTAATGCTCAGGAACTCAAAACAGCTGAGTTTTTTAGGTTTGCTGCTTTTGTTTTTCTCTGTATTTTTTTTGGTTGGCAAACCACGGAAGCTGAGCCTTATGCAGCATCCAAGTGGAGGATGCTTTGCTTGCGTGTACCCAAGGTCAGTTTTGTTTCACATAGCTGAAGAATACTTGCCCATTGCCTGACTTGAGATCCCTTGAAGCCAATTAGAATATTTTTGCCCATTTTCAGTGGGTTTGGCTCAGCTTCCTCTGCAATTTGGAACAGAATTTGATCAGAATTTCCACTTGTTTGTTCTGCAGCAGGGCCCAGCTGTGAAGTGATTCAGAATCTCAGCAATCTGCCAGCCAGGGAAATACACACGCACTGGTACCGGTGTTCAGGGATTATCACTCTTTTCACTCTTAATTTGCTGGTGATAGTGGTGTGATCTTTTGTTCTTTCCATCTCAGGTTTTCAATTACTGCTGCAGGTACCTCACTGAACAATAAAACAGATGGTAAAGAGATGTTTTGTGCTCTAGTAGTGACTTTAGAGGCTTTTAAAGGTAACTGAGATTGTTGTGGTCTGGAGTAGGCCTGTTGGGAGGAGAGGAATTACTCTTTTAGCTGTGAAAACACTCCCCATGAGGCGTTCTCTTGACTTTGTGGCTCTTCCATCTTCCCGTCCAGCCAAAAGAGGTGAGCAATCTCTCACCTGGGGAGGTGAAACAAGATGTAGCATCTGCTGCTTTTGTCCTTTTGTATTGTTTAGATGCATATTTTAAGCAGCTCTTTTTCAGCACAGAGCTGTGCCAGCTCAGCGACCCATGGCAGGAGGCCTGGATTGGAGATGCAATTAAGTTTATCAGCAAAATGTGCTTGGGGAAAGGTAGTGCAATATCTGTGTATCCTCTAGTCCGGTCAGCGCTGTCAGAAGCTCAATAAGTACTGGGAGAAAACAAACAAAACCAAGCATGTGAATGACAGATTGCTCGATATTTACTTGTGGACCAAGACAGAAATAGCCACAGGGCAACCTGAGTCAAAATGCCTATCAGGAGGCATGAAGAGAGGGAAGGAGCTTAGCTCTGTGTACTGCTGTCACGTTGCAAATAAAGCAGATACCCTTTATTTTTGCTGATTTCCTCTCTGTGCTGCCTGCACAATGATGAAAATGGTGGCTGAGAGCTGCCAGAGGAAAGCTTGGCTGGGAGAATGGCTGGTGCTAAAGGAGGTGAAAGAAATGGCAGCCTGAGATGGGATTATGTCCAAAAGGTGTCTCTGCTATTTTCCCTGGGAGGTGTGTGTGTGTGATGAAACAAAACTATGTGGCATGTGGCCAGAATGAGCGAACATGCATTGTGTGCAAGCGCTTCCAGGCCTGATTCCAGGTGGCAGCAAATCTCTGCTTGGATCATCAGGAAGAGGAGTGCATTGTAATTGTATTTCTTGCCACTGGTGTGGCTGGGATGGGGAGGGACTTTGGGAACTGCATGTTCCTGTTGGGTCTTTGTCATGGAGCTGAGCATTGCTGGTAGCCAGTGCAGGGTGCTGGCTTCCACTTGCAAAAGTTAGGGCAGTGAAAGAGAGCTATTCGTGCAGGAGAGCTGTGCAACCTGCAAGGGAAGCCAGCAAATGTGGGATGAGGTGTCTGACTTCCCCATTGCCTTACCTTCTGCAACTACATGGGAAGTGAGCTGGGGGAAAGAGGAGCTGCCTCCAGGTCAAGTCCTGCTCATCTAACAAATGTGCTCTGCAGTTGGTGTCCGTGTCCCGAAATGCGGCCGTAATCTCATGATGTGTACAGGGGGGGTTTCAGAGGTCCACTTTGTGCTAGCAGACAATGTCTTAGCTGTTAGATCATCTTCTGGGGCTTTTCCATGTTTGCTCTGAAGGGAATTTCTGTGAGTTTATATGAAGAATATTTACAGAATCTTTTTCTACTTCCTGGAATGCTTGGAAGGTGATGTTTCACTCAGTAAAAATTTTCCAGATAACTCAGACAGAAACGTTTAGAAAATACTGTCAACACAAAATGCATTTGTTTAAGAAATCGCTTGCACACAATTTCGAGTAGTGGATGTAGCCACAATTTCTTCTAGCTCCCCCTATCAGTCTTCCTAATTTGTTGTCTTCTGCAGTTGATATGTTGCGTATCTGCCAGCACTCATAAGGCAGCTGTGCAGCAAATTAATGATACGTAGGACTTTTTTTTTTTACTTGCTAGATGCCATCAGATGCACAGAGGAGATGTTTCTCTTGCATATTGTTTTTAGCAGATAGGTTGTGTGTTTACCGAACCAGTGATGTGTGATTCCTTTTTGTTTTTTAACTTGCATTGTTTTCAGAAGAGTAGTGCTTACTGGAAGCTTCTGGTTTTGCTGTGTTTGGGAACAGTCCAGCACCAGCAAAGTTGGAAACTATTTTAAATGTGCATAGTTTAACCCCTAAATATGTTTATCTGTCTCAGTAGAATAAGTACCTCCTTGCTGCAGTTCCATTTATGGAAATTTCCCACTCGGCAGCATGATTTTCAGAGCTCTCTCGGAGTCAGGAAAACCACACCGCAGCAGTCAGACCTATTCTCTGGGGACAACTGAATTTTGAGTATTTGACAGCGTGTGATGGCTGGGGAGGCATCAGTGTGGGCAAGATGCGATGATTCCTTGCCAGACTGGGACACATCAGAAGTCAAACTAAGAAGGTTTCACATGTCCATGTCTCCACAATCCATGTCTCACACATACAGCAGGAAGACTCCATGGAAAACCTGACATTGCAAGATGAAGCTCTGCTGTGAGGCACAGTTGCAAAGTAAGGAGATCCACTGCTCTAACATTTATAGATACCTGGGAAGACAAATCTCATTGGCAAAGTATGCAGACACGGGCATTTCTCTTCTTCACCACCATACTGCCTCTTGCAGAAATGCAGCTTGCAATGTCTGGTTTTCCATGGAGTCTTCCTGCTGTGTGTATGAGACAGCTTTATTGCTGTTTTGATATAAGGCTGGTAAAGTGAGGGGAGTGTCTGTGGTTCAGGAAGACTGGAGTGCTCCTATGTTGGGTTTTCCAAATTCCTGAGACCCTCTCTTTAAGCATGATTATGTGATGACTTTAAATGCAACTGCATGGTTTCCTAATTAAGCATTGAGTACCCATGTGGGGGTTTTCAAGTCAGTTTCTCAAGTTGGTAAAGTTCAAACTCTGAAATTGATTTTTCTGCCAAGTGAAGAACTGAAGTAATGAGTAATACTTCTCAGATTGCTTTTCACTATTAAATGGATGATTATTTTTACCTTCTTCCCACCTTTCTTGGTAAATGGTGTTGGCAGTGGAAATCTGTGAGAAGGATACATTGTGTATGTTGTATGTTACATGGTGTTGCAGTATTGCAAATACTAGGCGTGACCAATTTATTGCCTGTAACCAACCTGTGCATTTCAAGATGCTGTGCTGGATGTGTTGCCTGAAAACAAAAGGTTCCGCACAAAGCGGATATTCATTGATAAGACTGCTGTGAAACATTAACCACTCTTTCATTCTCTTTCCTAAAGCTTGTACAATGAGGACAGAAACTTGCTGCGTATACAGGAGAGACAGAGGCGGAATCAGGAGGCTCTGCAGGAGCAAGACAAGTTCCCTGAGAACACCCCACTCTTTCCTGAGCCGTACAAGGTAGTGGTGGGGGGCTGCATGGTGGTCCCATCTGCTCACCTGGGGATAATAGTGTGTGCACTTAAAATTGGGCTTCTGGTTGGGCAGGTTCTTTTGGGGGTCTCCTGAAGTCTGGGATTTGGTGGGAGAGTTCTCATGTTTACAGCTGTGGTTGAAAACAGGTGTGCCTTCAGCATCTGCTCCAGGGAGTAATACTGATAAGAGCAGCAAGATCTGCTTTGCAGAGGCTGCCTGCAGGAACAAGTTGACCTTGATAGCTTAACTTGTGATGATTAAAATAAGATCTCAGAGGGTATCTCTTCTTGAGCTGGATCTAAGGGATTGGTTTTTTCTGTGCTTTTCAGATTTCCCACTCTGTTTTTCTGTTTCAGACTAATAAAGAAGATGAGTTGTCAAGCCGTATTCAGAATATGCTGGGCAATTATGATGACTTGCAGGACCTTATTAATGACAGGTGCCATCAGAATCTCATAGGGATACCAGAGTGCGACGTTCCTCAGATCCCACAGAGAAAGCCCAATCGCCCATCCTTCCCTGAAAAGACCAGCCGTACATTATCATCTTCATTCCACCATGCAAGCCACTATCCACACATGGGACCTCCGGTCATTGCTCCTCCCCGCCCAGGCCACTACGCTCCCCACCAAAAGGCACAACCAGGAACAGGACCAGCTCCAGGCTGGCATGCCAAGAGTCACAGCTCGTCCAGCAGCTGGAGCCAAGGTCAGGAACACAAGCGTGGCAGGCTGGACAGTCATGCCAGTTCTCACCACAACAGAACTGACAGGCATTCTGGTGGTGGAGGTCGTGCTTCTGAACCTCAGGCCACTCTTTTGGAGCTTTCCCCGTTGCTGCCATCTTTGTCTTCTCCAGTGGCACCCCTGTCACCTCTACATTCCATCCAGCACACTAATTCCAAGTCACAGAACAGCAGCAAAGGTCATGGGCCAGCCTACACTCAATCACCTCAGGGCCGAGCGGTGGGCTCACGGGAGAATAAAAGTCAGGACAACTCAGCCGTTATCTTGGCTGGCACCACTCAGCCTTCCTCTCAACCCTTTCCCCCACCTTTGCCATCAAAAACCAGTGCAATGCAGCAGAAACCAACTGCCTATGTCAGACCAATGGATGGCCAAGAGCAGGCTCCGGTGGAGTCACCTGATCTCAAGCCTCTGCTGGAGGAATACCACGGTGAACCATATGAAAACATCTCAGATTTGAAGGCAAACACCAAGGTCAAGTTATCCAAATTGAACATCTCTTCTGAGCCCATTGAGGTGAGTGCGACTGTCAGAGGGCTTTGTTGCTGGCAGGATTCAGCTGTGGGAAAGCAGGGCATTGAATAACAGAGGCTGCTGAAGCACTGGCGGCTGTGCATGTTATGTCTAGAAGGTGCATTTTAAGGTAGGATTCTGCTTGGTTTTCTCCTGGATGGGACAAGGAAGAGAGAGACCTCCTTTGCTGGTACGTCAAGTTTTATAAAACAGCATTGTTATGCATGATTTGGGGAGTGTTACTGTGCTCATCCTTAGGCTTCTCTGTGTCCTGTGACACGTGGATCTCCCAGTGCTGATTTCTGAGATGTTTGGGTGAGGAGACCTATGGAGGTACTTTTAGAATTGCATTTTGACTTTCTAATATAAAGGAATAGGGTGGATGCCGTCTGCTTTTCCTGGTAAAGTGTGTTGGAAGATGTTTTGATCAGCTGCGAATAGCTGTAGGCAGTTTCATGTGGAAAAACAGGAAGCTGGTAATGTAATAATGTCAAGAAGTTGTGAAAATAGTTTCATGCTGAGAGACAGTATTTGCTCTAATGTTGATTTGGCATAACATATCGTAACTCAAAATGGGAAGAGCAGTGTGTTCTGAAGTTCGTTATTTGCTTGACCAGATGTTTTACTCCTAGGGGGGTAGGGTAGTAAAGCAACGTGGAGCCTTATCTTCTTCATTACCCATTCCTCATTACCCAAAAGTTTAAAAGCAGAAACTCGCTTTATAACTGTACTTTTAAAGCCTGTTTTTTTAGTGTGTTTATTTTTTTCTTCAGAGAAAAAAAAATGCTTATTTGTCAGAAATGAGACTTCTTGTTCTCTCTCAGCTCTCTTGGCTCCATTTCTACATCCGTCTTATCTTTTTTCCCATCCAGTTGATCTCTTTGTTACCTTGTGTGTGCATCTGCAGTAATCTAAGCTAAGATGGGGCGGCTTTGGCGATGATGCTGTCTGCTCAGTGACCTTCTTTCCACTCACTTTCCATTAAACACATATCTCTGGAGCTCAATCCATGTCAGAAATCCTGCACCCTAATGAGGCAGAAGTGCTGTTGGTCTGTGGCCTAAGAAGGGCACCATAGAAAGGGAATTGAAACTAATGCGGGGAATGATTCTGTGCTAGACAAAACTCTAATTCCAATTTCATTTACGTGGTTGGGTACCTGGATAAGCTCTGTGCTGGATGCGCGGTGTGAGATGGGTGGCAGGGGTGAGAGGGTGGCCTGTTTGCTTTTAGGAAGCAGCTTCTTCCCTGTGATGTCCTTTGACATGTTTAGGAAAGCCGTGTCTTCTAGCATGTGTTTTGTGGTTAATTGAATTTCAAAGGCATCTATCACCTGCAGTTGTGGATTCATTTTGGGCAGCTCCTGCTCCTGGCAGCACTGAGGAGTTGAGCCTTTCTATCTGAAGGATGAGCAGATCCACTGCAGGGCAGGTGAATCCACAGCAGATAACAGCAGTGACTCGGTTTGCATTCACATACAGAAACTCAACATTCCCCTCTTGTCTGAATAAAAAACCTTACATTCGGTCTTTGTCCCCTTCCTATTACTTCCTTTTACAAAGACAGTGGTGTCATAAAGGAAATAGGCTTGATGGCAGGGCCAGGAATCAGCAAGGCTTCTATGAGAGACAGTGTTGGTAAATCCTGAAGCATTCTTAAGGGCATAGAGTCTAAACAAATGTGCAGCGCTGGACTTTTTTTTTCCTGACAGTTTTATTAATGTTGGTAGGTAGCTCCTTTTGTCCCTTATAATGAAACATCACAGGATGACTCTTTCACCTATGAAGTGAGAAGTAAATTGAGAAGCAACTCGCTTAGCAAATGAGGTTGATTTCTCTCCCCTTTTTTTGGTTTGTTTGCTTCTGTTTGTTTATTTGTTTTGCACCATAAAGTTAAGTGTTTCCCCACCACCCACTTCATGGTCAGAGGTGTTGGATGGGATTCAAGAAGGGTTTCCTTGCTTCCCAAGCATTGCATTAATTTGTCTTTATGTTGATTCACAGCTACAAAACAGGGGGTCAAACATGAATGACTGTTGTTATTCCTGGATTCTCAACTTAAGGCCCTGGGAGCAAGGAATGCTCTTGTTAAGCAGTAAAATGCATACCTGCAGTTGTGATTGTGATTAAAATCTCCAAACCTCCATCTGTACAATGTGGACTAATGCACAGTTTATAAAGAGTGAATGAATACATTCAGATGCAGCACTAGGGGAGGGAGATCAAAATAAAATGAAGCGTGTCCTGAAAGGGTGGTGTTATTATTGTGATCTAGGGCACAAGGTAATACTCCGGGAAAGCAGTATGGTTGATAAGCTGCTCAGTAAAGCTCCAGCTGTCCCGTAGAAAGCGGAGAAGTGTATATATGACACAAAGATAATGTGAGGACAGCTTCACTTTCCACATTTCTCCTGGGCACTTGGCCAGGATCTCTTAACTGCAGGACAGCAGCACTGTGTGGACTGGGACATACGCTCAGCCTCTCCCAGTTAAAGCACACACTCTAGTAGGAAGCGTTAGCACTTGGTGGGAACCTGGGGTTACAATCAAGTGTGTCTTGAGCAACATGGCTCCTTCGGTTTCCCTGTTTGTAACCCTTGCATTGGCACGACTCAAAAGAGGATTAGAACTCTGATATTACAGGCTGTGTGCCCATATCCTACCTCTGAAGAATTATTTTTGGCTCCTACAGGCAAGTCCCATCTTCTGCTGGAAAGGATTAACCATTGCTGTCATTGCTTGCGCCTTTGTACACAGATAGCAGCTGCTTTGATTGCAACTTTAGGAAAGCAACAATTCAGTGAAGGGAGCTGATTGCATAGAACTATCTATTAAAAAGTTAGCATGGGGATGGAAATAACCATGGCTAACTGTGGCTGAGTGCTGCAGCTGCATTAGCTGCTGTGTTTTGCCAGGCAGCTCGTTAGGGCAGAAGGCCTGCAAGGGGAAATGAGCTGCCGGCTGCTGGGGAACAGGGACTGCAGTGGTGGCTACATAGCAGCATCTCAAAGAGGGAATTGCTGTGAGGAAAAGCAACAGGTGAAAGCTTGGGTTCCTTCTGTGCAGGTTTGTGGCTTGTAACGAGAGGCACTCTGTGCTGTTTGTGTGAGCGTCACTGCTCAGTGTTGTAAACAGTAATGTGAAAAAGGGCGATCTGGAAAGGCTGAGAGCTTGTGACAGCCAGGTATTCCGGCAGGATGACTTCACAGCCAACCAGAGGTAGCTTTAATTTGTGGCTTATTGAAGAATTGTATCAGTAGCCATCCCGCTACAAGCGTCTCTTAGGAACTGGGGGGAGTGTGCATCTTTGGGATATATTACAGGGCATCAGGCAGCTGGATCTGGGCTGATGCTTGCTCTCAGGCGTGACAAGCAATTTGCCCAGCTTGGTTAGAAGGAATGGAAGTTCGATGTCACCATTCTCTTGTGCTGGGCCCTGTGGTGCTTGAAGGTGTGTACCACATCTTTGGAAGAGGGAACCGCAGGACTTTGCTTGCTGCTGCGATCCCACATGTTCTTTGCAGTCCTCTGTGGCTCTCTGAGTTGAAAGCAGTTACTGCTTTTTCTGATCTCATGTGAATTGTGTTTCTTTTTTCTCCTGGTGTGGTCTAGCATCCCCAGCTGCACTGCTGATCTGGCAGAGGTGCTGATCCCAACCAGCATTCCCCAGGCAGCTGCAAGCATTTTGCGTCAGACAGAGTTTGAGTGCAACGTTGTGGGCAGCTTTTATGCTTCAGGTGCACTAAGAGGTTCTGGAACCCCTTTTTTTCTCTCACCTGATGCACTTAAAGTATGTTAGGAGGAATCAAACCCAATCCCAGTGGACAGGGGAAAATTATATGGCAGTGTTATTTTGTTTTTTTTGTGTGTTTTTTTTTTTCTTTTCTTTCAACTGAGCCAAAGCATGCAGCTTGAATAACGTAAACAAAAAAAGCAACTCGTTGTGCTTGATTTAATAGGTGGGTCCCACTGGAGGCAAAAGACATTTTTCCCTTGTGTGCCTCCTCTTTGGAAGAAGCAATGTGTTTAACCCAGGCTGGAAACAAACCAGCAGCCCCACGCCAAAGCAGCTGCAGCAGCTCACACGGAACACCTTCTGCCAACCAACCTGATGTGGATTTCAGAACTCTCCGCGCTGTTTCTTGCCCTGGTGCAAAGTACCAAAGGGACAGAAGTTGCCAGTTGGAACTGTACAGGGGGAAGGCAAATATTGCTAAGCAACCGTGTGCTTGAGAGAGCGTTTTTCGGAGAGGAGCCAAGGGAGCTGTACCTGGGAGCGTCACTGCGCTCACGGCTCGGCGCGAGGGAAGAGATTAAAAGTTCTTTCCTGGCAGGGCCACCACCAGCACAAAAGACACCGCAACCTCCTGACACCAATTGGGGCCGATGGGGGGGGGTGTGAAAACAGGAAATCTCCCTTGCCATGTAGGAAGGCGGTGAGCGATGCTAACAGAGGTAAGTGCTGAGCTGGTGATTACAGAGACCTCACTTCTGGCTGCGGACTGTGGGCACCCCATCTGCACTCTCTAGGGGGCTGCTGGGGACAGAGAGCTTATCATGAGACAAGGGAAATGGGTCATGCACTACTGGCATGGGGGCCAGAGGCCAGGGGGCAGGCAGGGGTCAGCCTGCTGTCCCCAGTGCTGCTGGAGAGAGAGAATTGGCCTTGTTTGAGTACTTTGATGGTATCTTATTCAAGAGATGCATTTTCTTCCAGATTTCTTTTCCTATGTTGGGCATCACCTTAATACTCTCCTAACACTGATCTGAGCAACTTTCTGGTTTTGCTCTGATTCCTAATGCTGTGGAAGTGGAGGGGAGTGGTTATCATGCTTCACCTTTTATTGCTCTTTGTGGACTCTGGTGAACTCAGGTGAAGGGCATTTTGTAGCTCAGGGATACTCTGTGGGTGTCTCCTGTGTCAGCACAGTGATGCATGCTCTAGCAGCCTGCTGGTACTGCTCTTTCCTCCTGGCACCACAGCAGTTCTCATGCCCTTGCCCTGTACAGCAGCAAGGAATGACTACAATAAAGTGTGAGTCAGCTCTGGTTTGTGATGAGCGTGGTCAGAGTGATGAGTGACTTCAGAGGGCAGTTGGGACAGCCACGTAGCATCATCCTGGTATTACCCAGTAGGGTGTGCTGCACTGTTTTTAAAGTATGACTCTACCAGTGTGTCAATTTCTGAAATAACATCCAGAAAGTAGTGGTGTTCTTGCTGTGCTGTACCATGCAGCTTAGTGTTCTGTGCTTCAGAGTGTCAAGTCTCATGTTTCATTCTGACTGAGTTCTAAAGAGGTAGTTGACTGAATTTTCCCTCAGTATCAGTATCTCCCTCCTTCCCAAGCTTTTGCAGCCAATTTTCATCCTCTCCATGACAAATGTTTATTACTTCAGCAATAAATTATACCTAATTGATTATTTCAGCTTTTCAGGCAATCATTCTTTCTCTTTGGCTGCTTGAATAGTGACCACATAGCAACGCTTTTTCCTTATCTGAAGAGTTAAGTTTAGAAAATCAGTTTCTCCACCAACAGCGTTTTAATGAGAGAGCTTTTCCTTGTGGCTGTATGGCCACAGAAAACCTTTGCCAAGCACACAGCTGTTGGCAGCAGGAATAAACACGGTTGGTGTGTGTCACATCATGATACCAGACCCCAGGAGCAGGGCCTTTGGCACTGCTTTTATAGCTGGAAGTAAAGACTGAGCCTTGAGAGCAGTGGTTTTGTAGCAGGGCGTTTAAGGATGCGCTAGAGGAGTGGCTGAGGAGCTTTGGGCACAGCTGGCTGCAGCCCTGAGGTATGGTATGTGTCTGATATCCAGCCCAGGGATGCTGCTTTGCATCAAAGTGTGTGTGTGATGTACAGTGACACAGCTACTCATGAAGCACTCTGCTCTCACTTTCAGAGCATCAGATCTAGAGCCACTCTTTTTGCATGTAATCAGTTGTAAGACAGTAGGAAAAGTTGTCTTCACAAGTGAAAAGCTGTCCTGCTGGGTTTTTTTCCACAGGTTTAGTTCCTCAGCTTAGAAGCATTTGGAAATATTTCTTGCATTTCCCTTAAGGTTTAAAAAGACTAGACTTTCTCAGTTAAGAGTGATCCTAACAAGTACAGTTCTGTTCTCTTGCCTCCTCACTGAACTCAGATGAAGATCAGAATTGACAGTCAAATAATTTCTCAGGCTGACAGCAGAGGGTTTGTGAAGGAAACATGCATACAAAATTACTGTTGTCATGCAAGAGAAACCACACTAGTGCTAAAATAATGTTGACATCAAAAGCATGCTCAATGGCTGCAGCTCCTGTGCGACTTGGAAGCTGCTTCCTCCTACGAGTGCCCCAGGGGCTGTGACTCTAGCACTGAGTGTTCTCAGATAAACAGGAGTGGTCAGGAATGGCATGGTGAAGAGAGGAGGTCTGGGAAGCTCTGTTCTCAAAGTGGCGATCAGTGCTTTCATTTTGAAAGTACTTCACTTGAGTACTGCAGTGCATCACAGAATCATAGAATGGCCTGGGTTGAAAAGGACCACAGTGATCATCTAGTTTCAACCCCCTTGCCATGTGCAGGGTCACCAACCACTAGACCAGGCTGCCCAACCTGGCTTTGATTGCCTCCAGGAATGGGGCATCCACAACCTCCTTGGGCAACCTGTTCCAGTGCTTTATCACCCTCTGTGTGAATCCTTTGTACTCACTGTTATTGGTAACAAATATCATAATGGGACCATCTGTTTTTAAGAAGAAGAATTGCTATGCTTGACTTTGATCTTAGTAAGTAGAATTTATTTGCAAAGAATTGATTTGCCTTTAAGAGCCTAATTCCTGCAGACTCTGAGCAAACCATAATCTTAAATGGTTGAATAATATTAGCAATTAAAGCTGGGGCTACTGAGAAATTGAAAACTTCTGAAATATGTACCCCATCATTTGAATTTCCAAAGTGCTTCTTTATTCAGCTTCAACATCTGGTCATTTTGGTATAGCCTTGTAATTGATACAGTACTTCAGCATATATGTTTATTAACCCCAACAGAACATTCCTACCCATGATTGTGAATGAGATTTTGCACAGTACGTGTTTACACTGCATGACTTTGTTTGATTTTGCTTTAGGAAAAGAACCCATCTCTGAGTGAGAAAAGCATGAAACATCTTTAGAGAACGTGTTACTTCCTCCAGACATGCAAACAGGAATACTGCTGAGTGTTGTGCACTGAGCATAGGGGTGCCAGGTGCTGAGATTGCAGACAGACCACACGCAAACTGGTCGTGTAGCACCGCAGTGGGCAGTACCTCACATAAATGGTTTTGGGCTCTGCATGTTAGTAGCATCAAGGAAAATGTCAGTCTATGCAAGTATTCCCATCCTGCAGTTGGGAAAGAGGTGTTTGCGTCCTTAAAATCCAGCTCATTTCTCAATCTCTGCATAATCTTTGGTTTGACTTGCCACAACTTAATTTGTAGCTTAAGGAAATTGTGCAAAGACTTAATCATCTCAGCAACTTTTAGATCAAATTCTTCTTTTTTTTTTTAAGAATTCCAGTAATTTTGTAAAAAAAAAAAAAAAAAAAAGCAAACAAACAAAACACAAAAAAACAATAACAATTCCTCAATTTGTAAGGAAGGAGAGGCAAATCGTGTTTTAGCAGCCTTCCTGTGCTCCTTTTACTTGCTGCAGCCTGGTTGCTTTTCTTTGCTCCTTGCCGGCTGCAGTGGTTCCCATGTGCCATCCATTCTCCTGTGGTTTGCAGGGGTCTTTTTTCTACTGCTGCAGTTGTGATAGCAATGCTTTCCCTTTGTGTTCTGCAAAATCACACAGGCTTCCAGAGCATGCTCTGCTGAGAGCTGATGGATGCATTCCAGCCTGTTTTGTGATACAGAACATGAGAGCACCCTCGGAGGATAACCCTGGTGTCTGGTGTTCCTCACTGCATTGGTGAAAGCCGTTGTGGTTGTCATGCAAAAATAAATGTGAGGATCAATATTTGTATTAAAATACAATGTTAATTGGGAAGCAGCTCTAAATGGGAACCCAGTGGTATTTTTTTTTAGCATTAATATTGGTGAACTTTTCTGCAGTGGCAAAGTTAGGAAACAAAGAAACATAATGAATGCCTATTTGGTGGTGGTTCCAAGGCGTTCCTCTGAAGTGCAGCATTACAGCTGAATTGCTTTTGCTGTTATAATTTCAAATGACAGAAGGATGGAATGCCATCCGGAGGGACCTAGATAAACTTGGTAGATGGGCCCATATGAACCTAATGAGGCTCAACAAAGTAAAGTGTAAGGTTTTGCACTTGGTCAAGGTAGTCCCACATATGTACACAGTCTGTGTGAAGAACTTCTTGAGAGTAGCCCTGCTGAGAAGGACTTAGGGGTCCTGGTAGATGAAAATCTTAAAGCAAGCCTGCAGTGTGCTCTGGCAGCCTAGAAGGCCAATGGTATCCTGGGCTCCATCAGAAGGTTGGATGGGGCCCTGGGCAACCTGATCTAGTACCAGATGTGGTGGTTGGCAACCCTGGCTGTGGCAAGGAGCTCGGAACCTGGTAATCCTTGGGGTCCCTCCCAGTCCTAGCTGTTTGATGTTTCAATTCTATGATTCTGTGATATTCATAGGAGTCAAGGGTCTGGTGCACAGTGTCTCCACTCAAAGACCACTTACAAGTGGTCTTCAAGTGTGCTTTCTCAAGCTTAGGGCTTTCATTTCTTTGTTGGCTGAGGGCACATGAGTGCACAGAAATAAGGAGGCAAGTCACAGAATGCAGGCAATCTTAGTGGCTGATCCTTCTGGTAACCTCTTACTTTTTACCTGTGTTTTTTTTAATGGGTTTTCATGTTTATATAATCAGTGGTGAGCAAACATATGATGAGTGCATGTCTTAAACTCATTCTTCTTCCCTCTTTTCTGTTGTAGCAAACTTTGCCCAGTGATAGCCAGTGCGTTGAAGAAATTTTGAAGGTCAGTGCTCTGAAATACCAGGTCTCCACGCTTAACTCTGTTTTTCCCACATTAAAATACTTTAAACAGAAATCCTGCTGTGCTTCAGTTTATTAGCCAGAAGAAGTGGGTCTCTGGGTCTGCCGCAGAGAGTCAAAGCCACCAACTCTGGGTACAGCTGGAGGTGCGGCACTGGGCTTCCTGCTTGTAATGTCATGCAGCTTGGTGCATCCCAGGGATGTGTCACCTACTGCAGCTTGGTGCAGCCAAAGGGAGCAGTGTGGGTTTATTTCCCTATAAATTTTCGTGCCTTACTCTATTCCTGATTGATAAGGAACCTGGAGACACTTCTGAGCTTTCTTAATTGTGCCTTGATGGAAAAAAAGGCATCTGCAAATTCCAGCCCAATAGAGATTTTAACACTGCGGTTAATGTACTTGCTGCCAAAAGTACAAAATGCACTTTGCACAGACATGCTCCCCACACACATTTTCTTTCAAGCCCTGAGGCAAACTGTGTGGTGCAGCTTGGGCTATGCAGGTGTGCTTGCCGGGAGTGAGCCCTCTCTGGGGTGGGTGCTCTGCCCGAAGGAGGGCTTCTCACCACACCACACCATCTCCAGTGTCCATGGGGACTTCAGGTAGAGCCATGCAAGTCTTAAGCTTAAGAATTCACCTGCGTGTATCAATGGAAATACTGCATTTTGCTTTTTTCCATCTCTTTCCAGGAAATGACACACTCATGGCCACCTCTCTTGACAGCTATTCACACGCCAAGTGCTGCGGAGCCCTCCAAATTCCCCTTTCCAACAAAGGTAAATCAGCCCCTTTTTCCAGATCTTTTGATAAATTAGGGGGGTTTCCTAGCTCTGGCATATGTTTCCATCTGATTTTTATCTGCCTTTCATAGATAAAGGCTGACAGGAGAGATTCTCTTCTGTAGAAGTCAGATGAATTAAAGCACAACGGCTCTAGTTGTGACTGCTGTGCAGAAACATGTTCAGCATCATGTCTCTGTCGCAACACAAAAAAAGGTTTTGTCTTTGTTTTCAACAAAAATATTTGATGCCTGCATTAAACAGAAATATTTGGCAGCTCTGCTAAAATGTTCTATATTTCTTCATAAAGGCACACACCGTGAAGGTGCCAGTAGCACATTCCTGATTGGCAGCAACACATGGCAGTTTGTCAAAGCTGAACTACGTCAAAGCAGCTGAAACTCATAGGCAACTCAAAGGCAAACTTTGGCAAGGCAGGCTTTTATAATCACTGATATGTAGCTGTTAAGAGAAATCTGCTTGTTTTATTCTCAACTTTTCGCTTTCTTTCCAGGAATCGCAGCATATCACATCTGTAGCACAGAATCACAGTAAGTAGAAGTCCAAATAGCATGCAGTGATACGTATGAACTGGCAGATAGCTTTGTGTGCTGTGTTAAACACTGGGGAGAGTATCAGATGTTCACCTTGATTAAGAAGCACAGTTTCCTGGGCTTGGCTGAATACTAAGGAATTTAGATAGTGCTTAGGAGATTGTGTCCATTACTTACTCGGAAATTAAGGCAGCAGTTCGGCAGAGAACAAACTGTCCTGTTAGGAATTCTGTTAGGAAATCCTATTTGGGGTGGTGAATAATCCCACTGGCGAATGATTACACCCTGGAAGAGAGTGACTTTCTAATCTGACACCCAAAGCCCATAAAGTAAAATATGGTTCACATGGGGCAAGCAAAACCAACCGCTTCGTTTTTGATTTACAGAGCAGTATGACGCACCTTCCAAAACGTTGCCTAGTTCTCATCCAACAATATCGTAAGTAACCAACCAGACTCAGTTCCCATGCTCTACTCTGCAGTTACTTGAAAGAATCTGTAAAGAATTAAAATTTGGCTTGCTTGGTGTTGCTGAAGATTAAAGTTTTTATCAGTTTGGTTTTTCTCAGAAAATTTAAACTGAGTGAATTTACAACAAACAAACTCAAACCACACAAGTATGAATGCACCAAGTGGAGAGGTTTTGCTCTGTTGATTTCTGGCTACTTAATATCATCACATACTGTGTGTGTGTTAGTAATGTGTTAAACTGATGCAGATTGCAAAGGAAACAAAGTGAAGCTGATCCATTTTGCATAGCATTGGGAAGTTTGTGAGGGTTCGTAAAGCAATGGGATGGAATTTGTGAACGCTTGAGGTGATATTTTGAAGAGATCCCGTGGTCTAATTTTCTTCAACTGCCAGGGAAAAGTTCCCTAAGCTGTGTTGTACTTCAGTTGTTTTAATTAAAACAAAAAACAACAATAACAACAAAAATAAAACCTTTCATGCAAAGTTTCTAAAAACCTCAGTTTACATTCTCTATAGTGGGATGGATATGAAATTCCTGTACCTTTTCTATATTTACTTATTTCTTCTCTCTTTCTGTATTTCTTTTCCCTGTCATTCTATGATTCCTCTGAGCAGAAGGTTTTGTAGAATTTGAATTTGTAAAAGTTTATGCATAATCACAGTTTTGCGAAAGCAGGGAAGGAGTGCCAACTGATTTCATCTGTTGCTTCAATGCAATTATTTAAGCCAGTGGAAAAGATTTGTAATAGCAGAAAGACAACTTGGAGCTGTTCCGGTGGGTTAAAGTGGTTATCTACTAATTAGGTTAATTACAGGAATTTCTTGACAGTAGTTTTGTGCAGTCTGACTTTCAGTCCTTTGGGATTAAGCTGGCCAGATGGCAGCATTTTTGGGTCCTGAGCCCTGAATAGCAGAAACCATTCCACATCTCCAATAGGAGGCTGAGTTGTCTGTGTGCAACCATTGAACGCCTGTCAGTTCGGTGATAATACAGAGCTCGTTTGACTTCAGGCTGTGGTGTTGGAGGGCTGCAAGCTGCAGGCTACAAAGCTTAAACCAATTTCCTTTTAAACTTTTCTTTATGATGAATAACTAAATCAGTAACAACAACAACAAAAAAGCCTGGGCACAAATGAGAGGAGGAGTATTTCCCCACCTCGAGATTTCTCATTCAAGCTCTTCATGGAAGCCTTCCTGACCTGAGCAGTCAGCCCAGCCAGAAGCATCCTACTGCTTACAGTTGGGAGCATCTTTTTGAGTCTCTGCACTTAGAGATTTCATTGAAGGAAGACAAATCAAAGCCCTCTGGAGCCAGCTAGGAAGAAGAGACCCTATCCCACCTCACCATCCCACCTCAGAGGATGAAGAGAAGCTGTGGTCACTGATGTCCATTGTTAAATGCAGTGTCTGTAGCATCTCAGAGCCAGCTCTCATGTACCACGGACACACTTAACCTGCTTTATTGCCTACAAAGGCAATTCAAGCCAGAGCAGCAGAGCAATTTACATCCAGAGGGGAGCGAATTGAGATTTGCCCAAGGACCTACCCACATTTTTCCCTTCAACTGCTATGGCCCTCCTTTTTTGTTTTTGTTGCTCTCTGCACAACAGGGCTTTCTTTGCTCTGCGAAAGCCACGTGACTGAAAGCTCAGCTGCCCGGCATCGCTTGTGTTACCCGGCGTAGCAGGCTGAACAGAAATGATGCTTGTGTCTCTTAATTAGAGGCTGAAATCCCTCTGTGCATCTGTGTACCCAAATTAAGCATTCAGCTCCCTGAGGGGCCTGGGTTCCCAGATGGCTTTCATTGTTGGATGCAGCCCTTGCACTCACAGCTGCCTATGCTGGAATGGGGAGTTGCCAGCCTGGCGTGGTGGTCAGCTGGGGGGGAGCAGCCCCTGCTTCAATGGAGCTGTTTGGCAAAGCTGCTCTGGTTTCAGCACCCTTGTCCGGGGAAAAGAGCTCTTTTTAAATAGATTTGCAGGGAGATTGATGGTGTGCACATAAGCTGCTGGTCCTGCAAGCGAGAACTTGACATCTTTCAAGTGCTGAACTAATTAAAACATTATGATTATTAGAGCAGATTTATTTTCTTGAACCAGGCTATTTGACAATTTGTTGAAACTTTGTTTTGTGAAAACTAGCTTTGTCTGTCCATGCAAAAGTATGACTCATTTAAAGCTGCAGTGTTCTTCCTTGATTCTGAATTGAACTTCAGTGGTTGCAATGCTCTTGCACTCTCTGTTTAACTTAACAGCAGCTCAGGCAAAAAAGGCAGATGTAAAAGACTATCTAGGTGGTGCTTCCTTGTGATATCTCTCATCTCTAAAGCAAATTCGTCTGTGGACCAGATGCATCTGTGGACGCTTGAAGCAAAGCAACCCAAAAACCAGAAAACCACTTTCAGGATGCAGGGAGTTGTTTTCCACCTTGGTGTCTTCTATTGCTTCCCTCCAGTGTTTACTACAAGAAGAGATCCGCAGGGGAGGTGTGTGCAGAAATGAGGCTCTAGAGGCTGGGAGATGGAGGGAGGATAACCCTGAGGGAAGGCAGAGTCAAAATGCCTGAGCAAAGAAAGCTCGTAGCTCTGTGAAGGTGTCAGCAGGCAGAGCCCTCACAGCACAAGGAGCCTTTTCTGCGTGGGTCAGAAGAAGTGGGGTCTGTGGGTAGTTGCAGTCCCTGCAGAAGGGACTGACTCTGCTGGTGGGCACAAAAAACCTTGGGTGTTTCTTCGTGCTGTCCTGCTCTGTGCATCCCAGCCTCAGTCTGACTCAGACGGGTGTCATGCAGAAACACAGCCTTTTGAGACAGGTTTTTTCTCTGAACTGTACAGTAGCAGCTGCATGGACGTGTTTCAACAACAGAGCTATGAACTGGAAAAATAAAACACAACAGCAACGCATTACACTGCTGGCGCTGTAGTATCTGTAGTTTGTCTGCTGGGCTTGGGGAGAGAAGGACAGGAGGATGCAGTTTCTCCCTTATGGTTTGGACTCCCAGGCATTTGTTTTTGCATCTACTCTTGAGTTTTGAGAGTCTTGTAACTTGAAAGTAAACTGCATCAAACAGAGTTGCTGTATCAACAGCATCCACAGATGGTGTCCAGCACTGCCAGCCCTGGCATCTTTGGAAGGAAACTGTGCCAAAGCATACATCCTACCAAAATAAGAATGCACCCTAAGCTAGCAAGGTTCTATGGAGTTCAAAGATGTAAATAAAAAAGAAGAATTAAATAAAGACTTCTTTACAAACAGGAAAGCGTTCCCATTTTCTCATCTTCCAAACCAAGAATTTGGAAGTGTAAGATTCAAAAGAGAGACAGCCCCTCACTCAAATTCCACCAAGGAAAAAAAAAAAAAAGAAGAAAAAAACATCTAACCTGGCAGCATTACTAGTAAGAGTTGGAAATGGATGGATGAAGTTCTTCAGTTTAATGGTGCAAACAAATGGCAGTGATGCAGGAAGATGGAAGCATGTAATTCAGTAGTGGAGCCTGTGACTGTATTAGGGCATTGTCTTCCACTGAGACTGAAGACGTGGGGTGTTCTCATTAGTGGATATTCAGTTCCAGGTCACTCAGGTTCAAGCATGAAGAAGTCAAGGACTTGTCTTCTTTTAGAAGGAGTGGACAGGGCCACAGGCGTGTTGGAAACTGATGTGCTGTAGCTACTGGTATGTGGCTGTAGAGAGGTGTGGAGTTTCCTGTAGGATTTCGTCATCCCATGTGCTCCAGCTGGGCTGGACGTGCCCTAGAAAGTGGGTGCTTTTCCTTCTGTGCGAGCAAGAATGTTTGCAAGTAGCAGCAAATAACAAACTGCCATGCTGTGGCTTTACGCAGGGGGGCTGGATTCCCTCCTGAAGCGCTGGAAGCAGAGGAATTGTTACTAGTTTTGAAAGGAAGCAAGAGTATTCATTAACATAACAAGCCTTGAGAATAATTGCTGGAGTCTGTTCTCTCTTTGTTGTCTATGTGTAATTACCATTAGCTCTGATACTAACGATGGAGCTTTTTGTTTGAAGAAAAGATACAGCCTTTGCTTTGCATTGTGGTGTTTGAATCTGCTGCTTGGAAAAGTTCTGAGAGAATGCCCAAGTTCCCCTTCAACCCAACTACTGACTGGTGAAATTAGAAGCAGCAGTTACTGGTTGCAGCCCTAGAACTCAGTTGTGTGTTTGGAAACACTCACAGCATCCCGCTCTGTCCTCTGGCAGCAGTAGACCAGATCTCACCTGCCCCTTGCTGTACCAGAACTGGGCTTCTTCAGCAGCTGTCTGCATGCACCCGGTGATGCTTTGCCCAGTAGTGCAAAGTGCCCTGAGGCTGGGAGTCCTGTTGTCATTCTTTCTGGTACTCATAAGATTGGCAGTTTGAGCATGCCAAAAGTAAAACAGGATTTGGGAGATCTGTTTGTTTAGGAAAGTGCAAACTGAGTCTTCTCTCGGGGTCTGCTGCTTGAAAACGTGTCTGCCCTGGCTGATGTGTTTCTTCTGGTTGTCTTTCAGAGTGCTCCAGGAGGACCTGCAGCTCAGTGATAGTGAAGAGAGTGGTGACGACCAAGTCAGTTTTAGATGTTTTATCCCCTCTGCACACAGACATCCCATAAAATCATCACAGCTTGTCGTGTTGCTCTGAGCTCCTAAAGCTAACCTTTCCTTCCCCTCTCCCATTTGTTTTTTGAACAAAACAGGTTGTTGAACAGCCACCTTCTTCACTTGATCCTCCAAGGTACATGTTTGTTCCCAAACTGCTAGCTTGGAGGAGGGGGGAGAACTTTGCTTTTTCGTACATGTGGGAATGGGTCCCTTTTTCTGTTCTACATACAAGCTCTGGTTTGTAGCTGCCTGAAGCTGCTGTTCAGCTTTGGTTTCAGTTGTGTGGGGCTTTACAGAAAGTTTAAATTGGAAATAAATAATCCAGGCAAGCTGGATTTTGCTTTTGAACCTGAATTGTATTCCCTCAGCTGTTCTCCCTTTGCCGTGAGTGGAAGTTGAAGGTTTTATTATTTCCAGAGGTTTTTTATTCTGATGTTTTATCTGTGAATATGGCTGTGTTTTCCTTTGGCCTTCTCACCTTTCTTCCCAGTGCCAAACTAAGGGGTTTAGGTTTTATTTCTGGATACTGCCATATCAATATAATAAGTAACCTTCACGAGTGCTGCTTTCTAATTTTGTCTCCTGGTGGCCTTGCAGTGCCCTGCAGTCCCAGCCCGAGAGCGTGGCATCAGCACATTCCAACAGCACAGAGTCAGGGAGCAGCAGTGACTCAGACAGCTCTTCAGACTCTTCAGAGACAGAGAGCAGCTCAAGTGACAGTGAAGCCAACGACCCTCCAAAGGTGTCAGCTCCTGAGGTGAATGCAAAGTAAATGTAGAGGCTGCTTAATGTGGACTCACTGCTGTCAGACCTGAAATACCGTCATCCTTCAGGTGTCCCGGTGACACCTCTGCTGCATCATCAAAAAACTCCTCTTGCCTTTTGCTTCTCTGCCAGAGTTTGTCAAACAAATAACCCTCAGTAATAGCATAAATAGACTTTTACGTGCCTAACCTTGAAGTGCTCCCCTTCTCTGTTGCTGGAGAATTTACGCCTTCACCTGTGCGGCACAAGCAAATTGCAGGTGGGAACTGAAGCTTGGCACAGTGCCTGGGGCCCATCTCTGGAGGTGTACCTTTTCTGGAAGCTGCTGCTGCACCTCTTCAGTTCCTGCGTGTGAGTGGCAGACTCAGCTTCTCCCAGATGGCAGCAGAAGGGATAGGACCTGCAGGAAGGGCAGGAATGTGCTTAGCCTTGCTTCTGTTGGGTTTGGCTCAGAGAGTGCTGCACTGGCATTTCTGAGGCTGTAATGTTCTGAGCCTGGAAATGCAGGGAAATAGAGCTTAGTGCCTCAAAGTTGCATAATAACTGAGAGCGTGCAGCTTTTAAAAATCTGGTGCAACTGTGTTCCTGTCCCATGGTTTAAAACAGTCCTCCACTTCAAGAACATTCTTGGGCCAGTGGGAAATGCATGGTTCAATCTGATGGACCACAGCTTATGTAAAGCAGTTTGCTGGCCATTCTGAAGGATTCTCACAAGGCCCAAAAGCTCCATCGTTTATTCCCCCTGCCTTCTATAGCTCATACTTTCCTTTCTTTTACTTTAGGAGCACTCTAATGTCTCACATCTAACACCCTTCACACTTAAGCAGTTCAGTTACAGACTTTGCCTTCTGCAATGAGAGAAACAGATATTGCCTCCTCATACCCAACTGTGCCTGATAATGTTACATTATTAGATTATTGTCACTCAAGTGAAGTCCTAGCTATTGTGAACTGACCATTTTATATCCCTTTTTATTCAGCAAACTCATGATCCGTTTTGCACAAGGAACAACTTAATGCTCATGGCTTGTTTTTATTAGATCCAATTCTTCATATGAAAGAAAATAATTTAAGAAATATAGTTAATATTTCCTTGTTTGTATTTTGTTTTTAAAAAATATTGTCTCCTTATCCTTTGTGTTTGAAAAGGCTGAACAACCCTGTGAGGGTGTAGATCACACGTGGTAGCTGATGATAAGTGCAGAAAAGGGTCAACGTCTGCCACTGTCTGATAGTTGCCTACTTACATTACAAACCAAAACTGATAAAGTTCCTAAGCAAGGTCTTCATAGTGTTAACAACAACAAAATGCTCCTGAGGGGCTAATAAGTTAAAATGCTAGTGAAAATAGGGAAGAGATCATTATCTGAAAATGAGAATGGAGTGTTTTTTTTGTTTGTTTGTTTGTTTTAATTTTATGTGACAAAACCAAATCTGTTTTTATGCCAGGCTTTTCTTTGGAGTCATGGTTGAAGACATGTCACTATGTTCTGCTGCGCAAAGAAAGGCTGAGTCTGGGTGGAGAAGAAAGCCACTGCAGAAGGGATTAATTAGTCCTGGAAGACCTTTCCTGCGCTAGAGCTTTTTTCTGAGAAGTGCTGTGGCTGTTCTCAGAACAGGGAGTTGTGGCTGAGAACTAAGTGGTATTTTCTGAACTGGCTCCAGAGAATCATGCCCCTAATTTGCAATTTGCAGCTTTGATGTCTGTTTTTGTGGCTGTTTGGTTAACTCTCTTCTCAATTTGTCAGACCTTTGTTTTGATCTGTAGGGCTTCTCCTAGTCGTGTGATGTATCTGGTCAGTTAGCTCAGTGGTAGCTCACGCCTTGTGTGATCAGGGGGACACACCTGGCAGACAGTGCAGGCAGAGGGCTCAGAAGAGGCTGGGCTTGATGTGTTGACTATATACTTTCTTTTGATAAATGCTTAAAGCACAGAATTCTGCCACCGTACCTGTCGGACTTCAGTGAGATGTGACAGCTCTTGATCCATCTTGTGCAAATGATTTGGTAAAAGCATTGTGAGGATAACACCTGGTTTGTTTTTGCAGTGGTTATGTCTGTGCATGTCTGACTGTGCAGGGTGTTGGTTAGTGGCATAGAGCACACCAAGGTGAGGCTTTTGTGCAGAGCAGCCTCTTACTGCACGACAGGTAGGGCTGGGGGAATCCAGGAGTGTTGTGTCACAGTTTGACTGGTCCTGTGCAATACGGATGTCTGTGCTTCTGAATTAATGGTTGGTGTGCATGTACCAAAGCATTCCCCCTATCTCATGGTCTTTTGCCTTCAAGGTCTTTTAACAGTATAGGGAAATTTTAGTGGGTTCTGATAACCAGTGCTCAGTTTGAGATAAAGGAGTCAGCTTTGCATGCTTCCTTTCTCTTTCTATCTGCAGCCTGACCCACCAACTTCCAATAAGTGGCAGCTTGACAACTGGCTCACCAAAGTGAACCCACCAGCAGTGCCAACAGAAAGTCCCAGTGACACTGCCCACACAGATGACCACGAGGAGGAAAAGGAGCAGCCTGTCAGCAACGGTTCCTCCTGTGAGCGTGCTGCACCAAAGGAACCTCATGACAGGAGCTTCATCCGAGCAGCCCAGGCTCCTCAGGATGCTCATCTTCCAACCAAACTTGGTTGCCAGAAGTCTCCTGTGCGTACTGAGGAGCCCTCACAGAGACAGACTGTGGGGATCAAAAGGCCCAGCAAGCCCCCAGTGCACGAGGAGCCCAAGGGAGGCCTGAAGGTGGAGAGCGAGCCTGCTCCTTATGAGATCGGAGAGCAGTCTTCCAGAGACAAGCCAAAACCCAAAACAAAAAGCAGACCCAAATCCTGTGACCAAAAAGAACTGAAACCCCGGCTGCAGGAGGCTCCTAAAGAGAAGAAGCACAAGAGCTCCCACCATGCCGATGCCAAAGCCCTGCTGGACCACAGACCCATGAGAGATGTCCTGGTAGGCAGTGCCCAGGAGCATCCCACTCTCAAACACCTCGCTGAGGGCCAGGGCGCAGCTCCCACCAGGACTAGTGGCCACAGGTCTGCTGCTGAGGTCAAGGAGGGTTTTCACAAGGGGAAGCTTCCTGTGCCCACCAAGGAGAAGAAGTTGCTGCCACCGGTGAGGGACGTGCCTGGCAATCCCAGCCTGCTGGTTAGAATTGATCTCCCACTCCTGTCAAGAATTCCCCAGCCTCCTGAGAAGGGGAACCAAAAGAAGAGAACAGAGGTGAAGGAGCACACTGGCAGCAAGGGGCAGGACTTGGAGAAGAAAAGTGCAGACACTCCTGACAGGTCCTTCAAAAAGAGGAAGGTGAGAGGTAGAGGTGGAGATGGGTTTGTGCAGGGGCCACAGTGGTGTACGTGGAGATGTCTGAAAAAAACCCTGCATATGATTTATTTCTTCTTCATAGCTTCAGAATAGACTACCTACTCCTGCTGCAGCATTGCCAAATTTTTAAAGGGAAACCTCATCAAAAACTATCCCCTGATGTTTCTTGTTGGTCAAAAATCCACCACTGAGCAAATGAAATGCAAGCTGTCTAACAAATGCTTTGGTGTTTCCGAAAGATTAGTCCTAGTTTCAACCCAAGGAGAGCTTTGCAGGGCAGCAGTGCCTTCTGCATGCACCTCGTGTTACAGACATGGCCTCAGCCATCAGATATCCCTTGCAGGAGAGCATGCTGCCCCCCGCTTGTTCTGCAGCTATCAACTATATTACCCTGCAACTAGAATAGTTGCTTTTCCTTGAATTGCAGTACAACCCTTGCTTTGATCATTGATCACAAGTGTTTTTTTGGAAGATGCTTCCCGGAATGGACTGTGACAATACAGCTAGTTCTCCTGCAGGGCTTGCAGTGAGTTGGTCTGATACCCCCATGTCTTTTTGGTCCCTCCTTCAGAAGGAGGTGGCTTAGCACATGTGGGTGAATAATCTTGATTTGGTGCAAGTTTCATTTGCTCTTGTCACCCCATGAGCTTCCTGTGGCTGTGTGGGAGAACCGAGAAGAACAAGGAGATGGTGAAGAAAAGTGGATGCCCCAGTGGTTCCTGTCCTGCGGTGCAGCAGGAAGAAGGCAGGCAGGCAGTGAAGCTGTCAGTGTTCCCACTGGTCTCTCCAGGGCCAAAGAGGAGCTATCTGATGCTGGGCACATCGTGCCTCGCAACCTGAGCATCTGATGGCGGGAAAACCTGTGTCCCAGCCTTGCCACGTGTGTTGTGTCAGTGTGCCGCAGCGCCCCTGGCAGCATAGGCTCCCTTGCAGCCAGCTGGGTCAGCTGCAGCTGCCAGACCTTTTCTGAAGCAGTGATCACAGATCAACCTGAGAAATGGCGTAAGGACACGATCCCAGTGTTGGAGCCTTGCCCTGATGGCTCTCTGCACCGTCCGTGTGCAAGCCACCGAGCTGCATCACAGTGACATGAACCTGCTCGTAGGAGATGGATGGAAAGTACTCAGATGCTTTTTGCTAGCACCACGTACGCCATGGTTTGCACTCCTTTTCTATGAATTTTCTAGTGTTGTAGTGAATTATTTGGAAGTTTTTTTCATCCTCTGGTGATTTGGCATCTCATGGTTTGTATCATAGGATCTATGGAGTGTGCATAAAAGGTGTTCTTTATTACCCCTCTGCCTCAGTGATTCCTGCTGTACTGGAGGGCAGTGTGGAGGCTGCAGATTTAATTGAAATGTCACCCTCTAATTGATTCTTGCTGATAAAACCCAAATCCCTCCACCTGTCAGGAAGCTGAGTGGTTTAAGTCTCTGATGAATGCTTTTTTCTCCCTAATCTTAGACAAAAAAAAGAAAAAAAAGAAAAAAAACAATATGCAGAAATCACATCATGAAATGTGCATTTTCAGCTATGGAAGCACATCAGTTTTCAGCTATTGACAAGGAGAACTTTAGCTTTTCCGCCCCCTCCGTGACAAAATAATTATTCTGTCCAAGCAGAAGTGGATAAAGGTCATTTCAGGACTTGTCAGTGAGCCTGAAATCTGCTGTACTCTGGTTTTCCACTTTGCCAGTTCCAATCTCTTTTTTTTTAATGTGAAACCATAACTTAGATGTTTTGTTCTGTGCTTTACATGAAAGTTGATTTTTTTTGTTTGCGTTTGTTAGAGAGAAAAGGAGAAGGACATCGATAGGAAGAAAAGGAAGTTGGACAAAGAAGCAAAATCACTGCAGTCTTCACCTAACAAAGACTCCTGTAAATTGAAGTGAGTATACAGTGGTGGGATGGTAGAAAAAATGCATTAAACTGAGCATTTCTTTACAATTTTAAAACAAAGAGAAACCTTCCATGCTTCCTGTGAATTTGCTTAACATAATGTGCCTTTGGAAACATAATCTGCTGCAAATTTGTCTGCCACGTGGCTGTAGGAGCGTAATTTTGCCTTTTTGTTTGTTGCAGATATGCAGTTGCCCTTAGTGTCCCCCATCTTTCTCACCCTTTGCAATGCTCAAGTTGATGTTTTGATGTTTTGGTGCTTGGCCTCCTGCCACGCTTGCACTGTGTTGCTGTAAAATTGCATGCGGTGGCACTTGTCCCAATTTCTAGCAGTGGAGATGAAATGAAGGCTTGGCCATTTGAAACACAGAGGTATCCATCCTGCAGTTCAGATTGCTGAACTGATCCCTCCATTACACATAGCTCAAAAAATCTGTTGAGGCTGCAGGAAATGAAATCGCTGGTTGTGCCAGTGCTGCTTTTCCTTCTAGGCTGATATCCACACAGTGGCACTGCCATCTTTCAGAAGAGATGCTGTGCAACAAAACAATTGCACAAAGTCTGGTGTCTGAGTTGGAAATACTGCGGCAGACTGCCTGCCTGCTGGGACCCTGTCTGACTGCAGTGGTAATCCCTTGTCAGGAGCATTTCCCTTCTCCCCTCAAATTGTCCCAGTGTGTAGCTGAATAGGTGCACATGCACTGTGCCTTGTGAATCACGCCAGGAATTTCAGGTGGCCTTCATAGCCAAAAATGTCTCCTTTATTCCAGCAATTGCATGGGCAGTGCTTCTGGTAGTTCTGCTGAAACTCCCTCCACGATTTGCACAACAGCATACCACTAGCATTTTGGCTAGGTCTGCCTGAGGGCTTCCAAGAAAGTATCTTGATGGGCAGCGCTCCCGAGAGAGGAGGCTGGTGCATCCATCATGAGCTGCTGCAGTCATTTTTTGCTTACTCAGGGCCATCATGAGCTTGAGGTATTGACTTGGATTTGTTGAGGTTTGCATCCCGACTCAGCTGCTTCTCTCCAGGGAAAACGTTGACAGTCAGGGTCCATGTTTAGCACTCCTCACTCTAAACACTTTCTATTTTCTTGGAAACTTTGAGGAACTGAAAGAAAATAATGTAAATGAGCGTCAGTGAAATTAGATGTAGAGCTACTGAGTTCTGCTTATAGCTGCAGGAGTTCCCTTGTAATCCCAACCCCAGATGGTCAGAAATTTGGCACAGTATTATTAAATATGAACAGCTCCACCATTTAAAAATGCAGCATTTAAAATCTTTCTCCCTTGAATCCTCACATGTGTTGTCTAGTAGATTTGGCAAGTCCTAAAGAACCAACTGGGCTTACTTCTGCTGAGGCCTGCATGGGGTCATGTGTCAGGGCAAGCGTCGGTGGCTGCAGAAGATGCCTTCTTCCATAGCAGGGGGAGACAGGCAGTGCTGTGTTTCCCTTGTGATCTTGGGTGACTGGTCCTGGGGATATTCCTCTCTGGAATTGCCCCCTCCCTTTTTCAATGAGAAGGTGTTGTGGCATTTCTGCAGCATCCTGACCTTCTGCTTGCACGTTTCCTCCAAGGATGAGTCCAGAGGCTTATTCCTACCTCAAGAGCAACTTGCTTGTGTGTCGTTGGCAGCTGAACACCTGGTATCTAATACACAGCAAAGTCCCTGAAATTTTGTTTTTGTTTCTGTTAGAATCTTTGTTAATGAGTCATCTTGCATTTCTGAAGAAATTTAAACAGTATGGGCACACAGTGCATTTAAGGATGATTTTTTATTTAAAAAAAACCCAACGCCCTCAATATTATATAGATACTGTATTCATCCCAACTGCAAAATTCACTTCCCATCTCCAGAGCATGGAACACTTCGTCTGAGACCCAGAACAAAGATCTCAGGCAACCCCTGCCACTGCTGCCTGCGTCTCCTCTGCATCCTGCACAAAAGCCAACCAAGAAGGCCCATAAAAGACCCAGGAGTGAGAACAGCCAGCCGCCTGCCACTGCCAGCAGCACTGCCCTGGACACAGGCAACCACAAAGATCCTTCTTCCTCCAAGCAGAAGAAGATGGTGGAAAACCACTCTGAGCAGGTGAAGGGTAACAAAGTAGGTATTGGTTATTAGTGGTGGGATGTGTCCTGCAACTTGTAGCTGCCATCTAATTCTCTTTAGAAACCTGTCTATAGGATGTAAGTGAGAAGAACAGTAAACCAGCCACCAGGAAGAGCTCTTTGAAACATGTTTGTCCCTTCAGTGGCAATCTGTGACTGTATCTTCCTAGCTTGAATAGCCATGCTGTTGTATCGCTACTCACTTTTCTGTTTTCATCTCACTGGTGAAACTCAGTGTGAAAGGGTGACCATGTAAAAAAAAGAATGGTGTTTATGACAGGAACTGGTCCTGAATGTAGACAACTGCCAGTAAGGTATGGTAGGTGTAAAGAGAAGTGTGTGTACAAAAAACGAACTAACAAAAACAAGTGGATTGCTTGCGAGTAAGAAATAACCAAACTCTGGTTTTGGCTGCAACCTGTGTAGAATTTGTTATAGCTTGCATTAAGAAATATTGTTAGTGATTCTTGCAGCTAGATCTTCGCATTAGTGGCTTAGAAAATTCAGCTCAACTGCCATTTCTGAGTGCCTGTATGTGTGTGGTCCAGAACTTCCACATGCATGCACCCTAATGGAGGCTGTGCGTGCTGCGTAAGCTGGCTTCTCACTGCTTTCTTTTTCCTGACATTGTAGTTAGTAATGCAGACTCAGGAGTTGCTGTATGGTTAAGTGTGTAAGTGTGAATGAATATTACCAGTTCCTGTCTTTTCCAGTGGCTGTGAAAAATGTGCTGCTGGCAGCCTTACTGCTATCTTAGCTATTGTACAAGGAAAACTGCTGCCCAATTCCTGCCTGCTCAGGGGATGTTTGATGGCACTAAAACCTCAGCAGCGGCCTGGTGGGAAGCCAGGTTTTCATTTCCAGTATTGGCCTGGGGTCTGGGAAAGAACAGGGGGAGGAACCTTGAAATGTAGCTTATATCTCAGACAAATAAACATTTTCACTTCAAATTTAGGAAAGCTGTGTTTTAGAACTGTTCTAAGTGGGTCTCTCTAAGCAGCTTTATCTCTGCTCCTGATTTTTCAGGGATCTGCAGGGGATGTTACAAATTCTTTACCAGTGCCTTCTGTGCCAAATGGTACCTCCAAACCGAGGAGACCTCAAATCAAGTTTGAAAGGTAAGACTTTGTTCTCTGCCCCTCTGAAGATGGCAGGCAAGGCTGGTCATGCAGCCACCGTGGCTCCTGCTTTTTACCGACCATTGATTTTGTTAGACCTGCCTTGTCACCTCTGCGACATCCCCACAAAGCAATGGTCTCTCCTTTTAGCAGCTCTCAGTTTGAGAGAAGCTGTCTAGAAGTCAGGTGCTTGTTTAACTTGCAGACATCCCACTCTGCACTGGACTGTGCAGTGCGCCTGACAGCTAGGGACGCTGTTGCTTTCTCTGAGTCCTGGCAGGTGGCAGGCCAGTCTGGGATATGAACCTTTAAACAGGCACGTGACATTCATGTAGTGATTCTTCTAAATCTGATGTGTGTTTGATAGCAGTATCAGCTTGTATTGGAGTCACAGCATCATCTAGATAAGGTTAGCATTGTTACTTCCCATATCCTTTTTCTCTTACATTTGTTTTCCTCTGCCTGTCTCCATTTCAGACAGCATTTGACAGAATATTACCTGGAAGAGGCCAAGAAGATGAAGCATGAGGCTGATGCCATGGTAAGCCTGAGCCCTGTGCTTAACACTGCTTTTCTTCTGGGATCTCACACCTGCAGGTACATGATGGAACTGTGCTGGTCGATGTCCCTTCCACACGTTCCAGTCATATGTGGGGAGGCTGTTTTTATTTACCAAATTTTCAGGCACTTCCCTTTGTATAAACACATCCAGAGACTGTACCTGGAGAACAGGAATAAAAGCTGACTTTGCTCTGTAGATCTATCACAAAGTCCTGGCAGCTGAATCAGAAAGTCAGTTCTAGGGTGGTTTGCTCTGAAATACCAGAGTACTGGTGATAACTGTGTTGCTGTTAAACAAGACTTGGAAATGCCCTTTGCAAATGTGAGCCCCAGGTGCTGCCAAGAATACCTAGAAAGTATTACTGCCATGGGAAAAACACTTGCTGTGGCAGAACACAAGGAAGAGAGGCCAATAGTGCAAGCACACAGGGCTGGTGAGCAGGACAATGTTAGGGGCTCAGCAGACAGCCTTCCATCACTACCTGGAGACCTGATGTGTGTTTTGTAATTTCTTCAAATTCTGCCTATTTGGAGAGAGAAAAGGAATTCAGGTGCACTTGAGATAAATAGTTTTTGCCTTTGTGTGAAAGTGAGACATTTTTTCTAACAGATGGACAAGACTGGAAAGGCCTTTCAGTACCTTGATGCTGCCCTTTCCTTTGTTGAATACGGGATGGCCCTGGAATCGAATGCAGAAGCACCAAAACCTGCTTACAGCATCTTTGCTGACACAATAGATCTCCTCAAGTAAGTGGCTTTGGAACCATGATGGTCAGACAGCGTGCTTGGAGGGAAGCAGTGGTTGTGTTGTTTGCTGGTATGACATCTGCAGGCAGTACAACCCAGGGAGCCCTATGCTAGATAGAAAAGAGACAGGAGCCACTTTATTCATATTGAAGTTGACGGTTGTGTGCGTGTTTTCAACAGCTGCTTTGACTTCCTTCCCATGGAGCTGATTGAAACAGCTGCCAGTAATTTTTTTATGGCAGACTTCAACATATTTAAATTTCACTGCTTTCTGATTTTAATGGACTGTATTTTCACAATGCTTTTTTGCTTTGTGAGAACTCCTCTCAAGATGTCTTACCTGGCCTGGAATTAATATTCCACCCTCAGTGAAGAGAGCTCCTGCTGAGGGCTTCAGGCCTGCACCCATAGGGGCATCACCTTTCTGGGGTTTTGGAGCAGTGTTTGAGGCAGTGGCATGCAATTGTTCTTCTAAGTGGACCTGGGAGCCCTGATGACTGACCAGATGCTGTTCATTTTGTTCCCTCAGATACGTAATGACACTAAAACCCTTTACGGATGTCTCGGCATCTTCACATGAACATGTCTTTGCTGTGCTATGGTGCGTAGCTGTTTTTCCGACTTCTTATTCTGTTTGTAGACTTACTACAGTGAAAGTCCTTTTTTATTTGTAGGGGCAAAGGAATGAGTTAAATGGGAATCAGAGTTCTTCAAGGGAAAAAACAATATAAAAGCCAGAGCAAACCAGAACATCTTTAAAGTGGGCTAGGATATAACAAGAGATCAGGCATGAAAGGTGCAGGCTCCAAAATTTGACCTGTTGGTAACTGAAGAGCATGTGAAGGCTTTCACCCCAGGCAGAAGAATGTGATTTGCTTGCCCACATTTTGGCTGTGTAACTGCTGCTGTATCTGAGCACAGCTGCTGCTGCTGCTGGTTGAGGGCTCACTCAGCCCCTGGCGTCCAAAAGGGCTGTGCACCCGTCTCCTTAAAACATAGCCCTTCCTCTTTTTCACAGAATCTGACTCTTCTTAAGTTGAGCAGGAGAGGAGATCCTGGACTTGGTTTGTCAGAGAGGCTGCTGGCTGCTGGTACTGCCTGGTGTGGTCATTGCTGGTACAGTGGCACCAGGCATGAGTGCTGACTCTTGACTGCATTTCTGTTCACAGCATGCGCTGCCAGTCCCTCCTGCACATGGCAATGTTTCGTTACAAAAGAGACACTGCAATAAAGTATTCCAGGATCCTGAACGACCACTTCAAGGTAGGGCACTTGTGTTGCTGTGCTACCAGCTCAGGGGCTACAGTTCGTTCTGGTATGGCCAGGAAAACTAACAAGAGCTCTCTTCCTTGCTGCAGAGTTCTTCCAGAATAACACAGGCACCTTCTCCGTGTGTTGCAAGGTAAGGTGTGAAAATCTGCATCTGTAAAGGTGTGAGCAGAAACTGAAGCAGGAATCTTTGAGATGTTAACTACATTTGAAAATGACTTGCTACCCACTCCACCTTGCTGCTTGACATCACATTAGGGGGCACAGAGGTGTTTCTGCTCTCTTTCTTGTCTTTGGCATCAGTGAAGGATTTTTTTATTATGGGATGAGATCCAGAGAGTCACTGCCTGTCCTGGGGATCAGTTCTCCACCAGGACAGTGGGGAGAGCACTGTGGCTGTGTTGCTCTCAGAGCCCCTGCTCTTGTCGTCCTTCCATTCCATGTCTGAGATCTCTAAGACTCTCTGGAATATCACACCCATCTCCATGGCTGCTACCTAGTAAGACAACGCTTTTACACCATGCTAGAATCACTTTGAAGTAATACTTGTATATTTTTCTCTGTGTTAGTCATCAATTAAGAAAAAGAAACTCATTTTCTGATTTTTGAATTATTGAACATGTCACTTTCCTATATTTACAGCACAGTTCTTGTGTGCATAGCAGCAAAAGGAAAGCTGCCATTTAAGTGTTTGACCCAGAGTTCAGAACACAGGACCTGCACCTTAGGACAGAAGAAGAATTTTCCTCTGTTTTGCAGTGAATGTATTTGGGAAATAGATGCTTAGTTCCACACTGATCCCCTTTAAAGTCTGTGACTGAGAGGCTCATTTGGTCTAAAGATCCAGTTGTTTTTCTGCCACATGTGCAGTATGGCTTGCTGATATGTAAATAGCTTCCCAGGTGCAGTGGTGGAGGCTATCTCATACAAGCAACTTCAACCTGTGGCAGGAAGCAATGATGGAACCTTACCCTGTGGCAAGTGGGCCACATTGAGTGCAGGTCCAGGTGACACCAGATAGTTCCTGGCATGAAATGTCAGGAACTTGTGATAAGACATTTACCTCTGAAGACAGGCATTCACGGTGGTGTTTCTTTCTCCTGCAGAAGCACAGGCATGCCTTCTCCTCATTCTCCAGTGCCCTCTCCTGCCAGATCAGTGAGTTCTCAGCAGGGATCAAATGGTAGCAATTGCGGTTGCAACGGCGTTGGCTCTTCAGTCACCATCCCAAGCATCACCTCTTCATATGTCAACATCACTTCCTATGTCCTCTATGCGTATAATATTTGGGAACATGCTGATGCACTGTCCAAGAATAATAAGGGTAAGGTTCCTTCACTTTAGCTTTTCGTTTTGCACACTGTGTTTATTTGTGTGAACCTATTTAAATTCTAACATTTAGTATAACAAACACCTTGACTGCAGAAGAAAGCCTTAAGTATGTTGAAAAGACACCTGTGGTGTATTGGCAGGTTTTTGGCAGAAATACTTAGTGATGATATATTGGTGAGTGTTCCAATTAAAAGATTATCTTGGCAGCCTCAGATGTCTATGAACTAAGGGTTCACTGCAGGAAACCAGGCAAATTGCTTCGTGCTAACAAGAGAAGCCAGCCCAGGGGTTTTTCTGCTCTTTGTTTTTCCCTTGCAGGGAGCTTAGGTTTTCTGAGTTGGTTCACTTCACTTTCAATCAGGTTTGTGCCCAGTGGCCTTGTGTTTCATTTTGTTTGTCAGAGTCTCTGGAATTCTTGAGTTGAAAATGGTGAGACTTGTTTCTTGCTATAACAGAGTAAGCAAGCAGCACTTGGAGTCCTTATTGAGTACGTGACCAGCATTTGGCAGTAAAACAACTGCTACGTTCTTATTACACAGAATCACAGAATCATAGGGGTTGGAGGGTATCCCTCTGGGGATTATCTGGTCCAACTTCCCTGCTAAGGTGGATTCCTTAAAATAGGTTGCACAGGAAAATTACAGGCAGGCTTTGAATGTCTCCAGAGAAGGAGACTCCGTAGCTTCTCTGGGCAGCTGTTCAGTGCTCTGTCACCCTCACAGGAAACTTCTTCCTCATGTCCGTATGGAATTCCTGCGTTCCAATCTGTGCCCGCTGCCCTTGTCCTGTTGCTGCACAGCACAGAACAGAGCCTGGCCCCACCCGCATGATTCCCACCCATTAGATATTGATAAGCACTGATCCGATCTGCTCTCAGCCTCCCTTCTGCAGGCTGTACAGCCCCAGCTCCCTCAGCCTTTCCCCATGCAAGAGGTTCTCCAGGCCCCGATCATCTCTGTCGCCCTCCACTGGACTCTGTCCAGAAGTTCCCCGTCCTTGAGCTGGGGAGCCCAGAACTGGGCACAGTGCTCCAGATGTGGCCTCACCATGGTAGAGCAGAGGAGGAGGATCACCTCCCTCACCCTGCTGGCTGCACTCTTTGCAACGCACCCCAGGATCCCACTGCCCTTCTTGGCCACAAGGGCACACTGCTGGCTCATGGCCAACCTGCTGTCCACCACGACACCCAGGTCCTTCTCCACAGAGCTCCTTTCCAGCAGGTCAGCCCCCAGCCTGTACCGATGTGTGCAGTGGTTCTTTCCCAGGTGCAGGACATGCCCCTGTTGAACCTCTCTGCCCAACTCTCAGCCTGTCCGGGTTTCGCATTTTATAGTTTTACTGTTAAAAATACTGTTTTTGTTGTCCCATGACACAAGCAGTGGTGGACAAGTGACAGCCCCAGTATGGACACAGCTCAGTCAGCCCACACTGAGTGTGAGTGCTCATAGTGCTGTTGTTCGTCACACACATGGTGTTTTGGGGCGAAGGGATGTATTGCCAAACATGCTGTGCCTGTTGCGTGAAACCAACCAACCGTTTTCTCTCTCTAATCTTTTTGCAGAGTTTTTTGCTGAACTCAGCACAGCGGTGTGCCCTCTGGCACTGACCAGTAGCATGACCGAAATGGTACACTACACTAGACAGGGTTTACATTGGCTGAGACTGAACTCAAGTACGCCTTAACTGGTGCTCGTGGTGGCTAAGTACCTTGAACTCTTTTGCACTTTGGAAGCTTCAGAAATACTCTGGCTTGCTGAATTATTGGATACAAAGCACCTGCAAGGGAAATGAATAAAGGTGAAGTTATCTGGTTACACTGGAAAAAAATGAACTTTAATTTTAGGGTAGCATTTTGTTGCCTTGGAAAAGAAGAGACAGAGGAGGGCCTCAGCATTGATGGCACCTTCGTTTAAAATGGTGAAGTGCAATGAATCGTCTGAGTGGCTCTATGTGTTGATGGTCTAAAAACATTTCTATTATGAATAACCAGCAGGACAATAATCACACCTGAAGAAGTGCCGACAAGAAGGAAATCTGCCTCCAGAAGTTATTATGCAACACACCACAGTCAGTTGTGTGCCTGAAGGAGATGTGAAATGAGTGTATTTGCGAGCATGGGTGCAGTCCATCATGTTGGATCTTTGTTTTTGGATGGCAAGTGGCATCCCCATCACCGAAACAATGTGGTACAGACAGCAGAGTGCTCTGCCTCACCGGCCCCAGCCTCGCTCACGTGCATTGCCTGCCAGCAGCTGCACTGATGACACCCTGCCACTGGTGCTGCACATCCACTTCCAAAGTCACGTCACTGTGCCTCCACCTGGCCTGGCACACACCCTAAATGACGTTGCTCACCATCTCGCTCTGTTTCACCTGTGGAAGCCAAATGCAGCTGGGGCTCAGCATTGGCCCTGTGATGGAGGGATGTTGCTCCTGCTGAGGACACCTCGTCCACTCACGCTGCGCCCATTCGGGGGGAGTGGACAGATGGAGGGCTGTCGTGGGTCACTGTGCCCACTTGAGTACAGTTTTGGGTGGGAGAGGTGGGACAAGAAGAGGCCACGTGGCCTCATGGGGCACAAGATGAGTCCTGTGTTTGGATGTTAGCCTGCAGCCCTTGCTGGTCCCAATGAATATCCAGGAGCAGGATGTGGGTACCAAAATCAAATGCCCTTTATGTGGGAGGTAACCGTGTACTCTACCTCAGCTAAACCACAGAGTGGGCCCAGGGACGTGGAACTTGTCTTCAAGGGAACACAAAAGGGAATAGCAAGGTGTTTGCAAGCCTTTGTCCTAGTCAGGACTTTGTCCTAGTCAGGAGTTGCATATTTGGAATTGTGATTTGGCAGGTGGCAGTAGCAGTGAAGGCAGCATCCACGGCACTTGTATGAAGACAGCCTTCTGTACCCAAAGATTTCCTGTTGCATGACAGCAGCATCCTGCCATCCTCATATCTGATAGTGTGCCTTAGCCCTCTGGTCACCTCTCACATCCCTCCCAGCTGCGGGAGTGGTGAAGAGGAGGACGATATCCCAAAATAAATTGCGCTTACAGGGAAGAACATATCTCTGGTGAGTTAGCTCCCTTTCCCTACATCATTTCAGGGTGGAGGAGCAGATCTGCACAAGTGCAGCAAAACACCTGCTGGGAGTTTGGAGACACACAAGAATCTGCAAAAAATACTTGGAAGAAGGGGGTCTGCATTACCACACATAAGTCCTGCAGGAGCGGCTTCCCCCTGCCATGGGCTGGCCCAGCAGTGCTGTGCCAGAGACGCACCTTTAAGTTGTCCTATGTTCACTTTATTAAAAGCCTTACTGCATTTTGGGGATAGGCTGCCCCGGGCCGTGAGAGGGAGTGACTGGGAGCCTGCTTGCTCCTGGCATGCAGAGCGGAGGGTCGCTGCTGCTTTCTGATTTCTCCTTGCAGCAAGGCTGTGTCCAGGTGCTCTAGCTGAGGAAGAGGGCAGGGAGTGCTGTTGTTGCTGGAAGGAGCTGGAAGGTGGAACAGGGGCTCTCGTTTCAAATCCAGAGGGTGGGTGGAAGCAGCGTTTTCTTTCTGTTGGTGGAAGAGACTGCTTAAATTGGAGCTAATTTTCAGAAAGCCATTGTATTTCCATCATGAGCCAGGTGAGAGGCCCGCGAGGGTTAGGGAAAGATTCCCATAGTTTTCACCTGAGTCTGATCAGGCCCTTTATAAAATGGGAAGTTAAAAAAAAAAAAAAGGATTTGCCATTAGGAAATAAAACTATGCATCTAAGGAAAATTAGAGGTGATGGTTGAGTCCCTGAAGGAGAGGAGGCTGTGGTGGCAACGCAGCATCATTTCCACGCAATATTTATTTAGAAGAAATAATAATGTGTTTGAATTGTTAAATGTTCTATTTTTAAGATACCATTTATTTAAGAGTTGAAAAGCTCCACTTCCATGGAGACAGAGATCTCTTCTGTACCTGAAGGTCAAAGTCTGATTGCAATGTCCTTGTGTTTGGTTTTCTCCCTTCCATCTTGGTTCTCATTACAAACCTGTACACCTTAAACTTATTTTGGGGACACGTGTCCCTCTTGTACATAACCTCTGCCCTGTGTGCGACGGAGTGTCCGACATGGTCAATTCGTTCATGTGGGTAATAAACAATACATGAAGTAGCCCATTTGTTGCGAGTCGTTGCCAGAGTCCTCGTGTTCTCAGCTTCTGGGAGAGGAATTGCTGTCTGCCCTCTGCTTTGTTTGCTGGTGGTGAATGTGTGCTCCCAGGAAGAGCGATTTCACGTCTCCGCGCTGCTGGGATACGTGTTTAATTCAGGTCTTTTCTGCAATACGCTTTGTACCTATCATGTTTGCTGCTAATGGATGTGGTTTTTAATGTAGCATCTGAAGCGTTCAGAATACTGGATCCTGTTTTAAATGCTTGCTGGGTTTGTTGCTGTTACAGATAGTGTGCATGGAAACAGATTTTTTTTAGGTCAGTGCACTTTTTCACTGCACACTTAAAATCCTAAGGGCAAAATTCAAATTGGAATATGTAAAAGAAACAGCCAGTTAGACAAAACCTGAGATGTGAAGCACCCGGTGCATTTTTCAGCTGTGGATGAGATGAGAGGAGAGGATGATGTCACGTTTGCAAACATGGTTTGCTGGAAGCAATTGGTGCTTGGAGCAGGATGGAGCTGGGTGGTTTGGTTGTTTATTGAACCATTGTTTACCAAACCTGACTTTGCAGCCATGTGTATTTTATTTTGGGATTTGTTATCTATTCTGGATTAGCTGTCTTTCTCTCTTGGGCTTTGCTTACCCTTTTCAGAGGCAACAGCTTTTGGCAAAGCAGCTGCATGAAAGTTGATTGTGATCTCACTTGGATCTCTCTCTGGCAGCTCATGCTTGCTTCATATTAATTGCTCTGTTAATAATCAAAATCAACAGCGTTTCTGGGCCACTGTCAGCATTTCTGAATGTGTTTCCAAAAATTACTATTCCCGACCCAAGGGTTTGTATGCACATCTGCAACGTGCTGCCGCTGTTGCTCTGGGGCGTGCTGTGTTGAGGCACAAAGCCTCTGCAAGTCTTGTGGGGCTTCTTTCCTCTCCCCCAGCGTTCCTGAGGTCAGGCTTTTCTTTGGGTCCAGCGCTTTGCATCAGAATGCTTCTGTTCAACCATGCTTCTGTTCAGCCGGGCTTGATGGCTTTGTTCTGTTCCACTCCCACATTTGAGAGGCATTCCTAGGAGCCGGTGTGGCCGTTTGGCACTCCTGCTGCTCAGAACAGAGCTGCTGAGGATGGAGAGAGGATTTCAAATGTCACCGCTGTGATTCAATTTTTTTTTTTTAACCCTGTCTTGCTCAACATTTTAAAATGCATGTGAAACACCACAATTCTCAGTGGAGATGTCCTTAAGGTAAGGTCTGAATGTTGCTGAGCACTGCCTGCCAGGAGCTGGGCCGAGAGAAGGGCACAGGGGATCTGTGACACAGCTTGGGGAAAGGAAAACAAGGTAAAGTTCCCTCCAGAAAAATTGTGTCACAGATCTTTTTGTCTGTCTTCTGTGCTGGGGGATGAACTGCTGTGTGTGCGTGTTTCTGGATATATAAAGACAAGAGTTTATATATAATTAAAATGAACGAATTTTGACTTGCTTGTTTTTAAATTCTTCCAGTGAACGAGATGGTGGTGCAATCTCTAATGGCAAATTGGCAAACAAGCTGCTGGGGGTGGGGGGGTGGGGTGGAATTTCTTGTTTCAGCAATCCAGAGCTGAGTGACCACAGCCTCAGCTCTGCTCCCCTGAGCACTTCCCTAGGGGCACCCATGTGTGGCTGTGGCTGCTGCCTCTGCCTCGCTGTGGCCTTTGGGAGGAATAACAGCGTGGAACACCCTTGATAACACATGGAACATCTTGCTGGACTGAACGTCGACTCCAAGATCCAACATCCTGATGGCCTGCATCCCTAAGCATTGCTTCTGCAAACATCGACGCACGTTTCCAGATCACATCCCTCTTGGTGAGAGGTGGTCATGTTTTACTGGGCCATACGCCCTCAGCTTTGACCTTTGTTCAGCAAGAATTTTAACAAAGGTTAATTAATTAATGTTAGTTAACCTGCTAACAGACAGCTGACAGCAGCAGGCTGGCCCTACGGGCTTGAGATCACAGAACTGGGTTGGGACTGAGGGCTGCTGCACAGCTGTGCAGCCTCAGCTGTGAGCATTTAAGCAGCACAGATTCCTGCCCACATCACATTTCTTTTTTCCTTTGTAATTGCCTCTTTTTCCCCTCTGACGGGCTCTGATGGAGGGCACGTTGGCTTGCCTCTCTGAAGCCTGCACAGCGCAGACGTGTCAGAAGGAGCACCCATTGGGTGGGGGTAGCTATCAGAGATTTGAGGTTCAGACCAGCAGGTGCCTGTCTACGTGGATGCTGTTTGTCTGCATCTGACTGCAATCAGATGGCTGCAGTTTTGCAGCAGCCTGTGGACTTGATTTTGGTGCCAAAACAGCTTTCAAACTGCAAGCCAAGGAACTGCATCCAAAAACGCTGTGAGGTGACAGCAGCATCGAGCTTGATGACAGAGCCAGGAAAGAATTACAAATGTTAGTTTAATCTCCTGGCTAGGAATGCTGTACTTTCTGCCAGCTCCAGTCAAGAAACCATGCAAAGGTTTAGAAAACAAATACAGATGTGGCAGAAGCAGCCAGCAAAACATAGTGGAGCATCTGGAATAAAGTACTTGGGTTTGCAGCACATGGTGCTGCAGCGACACAGAGATTTGTTTTACAAGTCAATTCAACCTAAATGAAAATACAAGGCTTCATTTCATAGAATCACAAAACCACAGCATGGCTTGGGTTGGAAGGAACCTTAAAACCCACCCAGTTCCTGTCACTGAAGGCATAGACATTTGCTGCTCTCCTATCACCTGAACAAGGCAGAAACTTGGGGTTGTGGTCACAGACAACTATCAGTCCCCGCTCTGTGCGTGCTTGGGCAAGAACAGGATGCTGAGGTCTTTCCAGCCAGATGTGACCTTGCAGTCAAGGTCTGTGACTGTGTCGCCTTTGCACAGAGCAGTGTTCAGTTCCTGTTTTAGTCCTTGATCTAAGTATTGCTTTTTTTTTCCATTCTTCCTGCTGCTGATTGAAAGCTTCAACTGCAGTACCTGTTTTGAGATTTTTTTTGGCTGAATAATCCTAAGGACCTAGGACCTCAACTGTTACCCCACATTTGTTACTGGATCCTGAAGCTGGGCTTAGCAGCTAGACTTGCACTTAAAGCTCTCAACAGAACACTGCAAGTTCTTTTGTGTGTGTCCCTTTCCTGTGACAAAAGGGATTCAGAGACCACTGAAGCCTTCAGCTGTTACTGTGGTATTGATTTCTCCACAAACGGAACCTTTTAGAGAGTCATTACTACAGATTTTATTAAGGATAAAAGAATGTCAGTATTCCAGTCACTATGCTCAGGCTTTGAGAGTCTTTTCAGCTTTCTAACAAGTGCGTGGGGCTGAGGGAGCACTCGAGAGGCAGGTCCAGGTTGAGTGCTGCCATCTCCTCCACAGCCAGCAGTCCCACAGCAGGTGGGCAGTTCACATCTGTATCCAGTTAGCCCAGGGAGAACCTGAAAAGCTCTGTTTCAAAGCTCTTTTATGATTAGGAAATGTTTTAAGATTGCATTCCTGATAATAAGTTAGTTATGTTAATAAATGGCACTCCAGTCCTTCAGGAAACACACAGCAGGGCTGTCAGGTGAGGCTCAGTGATGCTGCCCACTGCTCACTCCTCACCTGTCCACGCCTGGTTTGCAGTTCATTGAGTCCCTGCAAAATGGCTCTTTAATTACAGCTCTCAGCAGGTAAGTAAAACCTCCTGTAAGTCACACCACTGTACCACATTTTCACAGATTCTTCTATACTGCTATTGTCAGAAAGCCACCAAAAGCTTAAAAGTCACAGAAGGTAACATTTTCACAAGGAAACCATACTGTGTTTCTTAACCTACCACACAAACCACCATATTTAAAAGCTCTTTAGTGCTTCTGTATGATTGTTCCCACGGAATTTGAAGGAGGCAGCTGAGTTCACATGCAGTCAACTACATTGCTGGATCCTTGGCCCACATCACGGATCTGGCTGCTGAGGCAGGCGCACACAGCAACGCCTGCCCCAGCTCTGCAGTGCGACACAGAGCCAACGAGTTCCCACCTGGAGAACAGTGCAAAGGAGAAGACAAGTAAGTTTGTGTCCTTTAAGAGCAAGCTAAAGTATTTATTTCTGAAATTCTATTATAGAACCTAGCTATTAAGTGTATAAAAATATACTTTGTTCATTTATTCTCATTACTTCTCCACTAAGGTTAGTAGAAAATCAGATTGGAACCTCCACAGGAACACAGATTCTCACTGAATAAAGATAACAGGATGAGGGACGGCTGGGAGGAGGAAGAGGGAGGAGGATGTGCTTAATTATTTCAAGAAGAACCTAGTGACATGAGCAGCACTCCCACATCCCTTATGTGAGTATTACTCAGTTACTGTACACTGCTTCTGTTATGCTGAATTCCATACAGGCAGATATGATTGCTTTTTTAGGCCAAATAAAGATGAGAATTACCTGTTAACTATGGGATCAAATGCTTCCACAGTATTCAGATATGCGTTGCCGTTGTGACCTCCAACTGCAAAAATTCTGCCCATCAGTGTTGCGATGCCAACTCCCCCCCTTGGGGTTGTGAGCTCTGCGACGTACTCCCATTTGTCACTGCGTGGGTCAAAGCGTTCCACGGAGCTCAGTGGAGAGTTGTCATCAAAGCCACCTGCAAAGAGTCACCATATACTGCTATCTGGCCACTCCCAGTGGTGGTGATATCCCAGATGTGCATTACAGGGCTTTTCTTAGCATGCAGTGGCTTAGTACCCTGGGTCTACGTTTTTAACCAAATCTGAAAGCCACCTGAAAATTAATCCAACAGCTCTCTCCACTGTCGACATGCTCTCTTGCAGTACTTTCAAAACAAGCCACTGCTGAAAACCAAAGCAGGAAACAAATCCTTGAATGACTTCAGTAACGTGTTCCCATTGGTGTGCGCAAGCTAAACTTCTTATTTCCTGGCTACCACTCTTGCGTTCAAGCATGTCCTCATTGTGCTTTCTTTTCCTGCACAGGAGCACATCATACAGGACAGCTCTGTCCAACACAGGGCGCTGGCCTACTCACCAACAACATACAGGCAGCCATGGAGCTCACTGACGCCGTTGCCGGCTCTTCGCTGGCCCATCTCTTTCACTTCCATCCACTTGTCCAAATGGGGATCGTATTTCTCCACGCTGGAAAGAGACGCTATGCCATCGTTGCCACCCACAGCGTAGACGTGGTTCTGAAAAAGTTGCATAGGAGGAAAGTTTGTTTAGAAAACTTACATAATATTTGAAAAGCAGCCCTGGATCCTGGCCCTGACCTGAGAGGAAACAAACTCACCATGAGGGCTACGGAGCCAACTCCCCCCCGGGGCGTGTTCATGGGGGCTATCGCACTCCACCGATCGGACTCGACGTCGTATCTTTCCACATCACTGAAGCACGTGTTGTCATCCAGACCTCCTATTGCGTAAATGGGGCCCCCGAGGGAAGCAAGAGCGATTCCTCTCCTAAGAGAACCACAGAATCAATGCCTCAGTGCATATCCTTAAAGGGGATGGGAAAGACATCAGGTGCAACGTTAATTAACCGGTAAGACTTTCAAAGTAATGGGAAAAAAGTAATGAAGTAATGGGTTTGTAACACTGATCCATAAGTGTGACCGACCCTCTGCACACCCATGGCAGTGTTGCATCATTGTCCAAAAAGTCTTTCTAGTGTTCACAGCATCCCATTAGTGTTTTACCTTCACCTCAGTTTCAGCTGTATGCCCTGGTCATCCACAAACAGCACTACTGCAGCTAGAATATTTTTAGACTGCAAAAAGAGAAGCTCTGGTTTGAAAAAGAAAGGAGGAAAAAAACAGCAGGAGGGCATGGAAAATATTGTTTTAACTGCATGTCAGCAAAGGTCCAAGCCTTCTTTTCAAGCATTTGGATATTTGAGGTTTTCTCAGTTATTGGATTGCTATTCCTTGGTACTGAATCTTCCATCTCTGATCTTATTTGATGTATCTGCTGGTTTTAGCTTTGTTGGTATAGCTGCTCCTATGGCTTGGGAATTAATTTTCCAGGGGTGATAAATACGCTCCAAAAGACAAACCTGTGCTTGAACTAGATCACTGAATTCTGATTTTTATTAAGTGTACATTGAAATAAGTGGAGATTTTTTTGTGAGATCTATCCGTACTCAAAGTGCAGTCAGTACAGTGAAATGAAATGTATTCTCATCAGAGAAATTATTGAGAAAATCCTCGTGTTACTGCACAGAGTGTAAGGTAACGTGCAGTTTTCTCTCCAGAAGGTGTTCTGGGACCACCTCCTTTTGCTGGAGAAGCAGGGTGTGGGCAAGGCTCTGCCCAGCTTCCCGAGTAAGAAATGTCATAGAAATCCACAACTGAACCTTGCCAGAAGGAAGACATTCCCTGGCTGTGAAGCATTTTACTACATACATGCTGGTGGAACTATCATTGTTTAAAAGAGATAAAATACCACAAAACCACTTAACCAGTTTCTGAATCTTTATCTGTTATCAGAATGTAAGCACAGTTGCAATGGAAAAGCTTCTCTTCATTTCTGAAGCCAGCCATCCAACAAAAAACCCCCAAAAATGGCTGAGAGTGGCATTAGAAAGCAAAAAAGCATAACCCACGTTAGCAGCCAGGGCTTCTCCCTCGAGAGGGGGATTGTGTAGTTCTGCACTGAAATACTTAGTATATTACACACAACTTTGTGTTTGTGCAAATCATAGAATCATCACAAATATGTGATATATGCAAGCGTATGACGCAGATTTTTGTTTGCTCTGCAGAAGATAAGCATAGTATTTAAGTCACAACATAGAAAAAAAATCCTAAAAATAGCAAAGTCTGGAAACTTGTATAAAGGCAGAACAAACAGGTTTTCAGCAGTAGCAAGAATGATGTATCACGGAGTAGGACTTAAACTTTGTACCATGCTGGATCATGACACACATACCTCTTTGTGTTCATTGATGCTTTAATCATCCATTTGTTTGTGAGAGGATCAAACACTTCCATGCTTCCTAAATGTTCATTTCCATCATGTCCACCCACTGCATAAACTCTACCTGAAAGGGCATACGCATATTTGGATACGGAGGTTGCTTGGTAACATTTCAGTTTTCATTTAATGTGTGGGGCAACAAGCCCAAATGCAGGGGTCATGTTTTTAAAGGTTTTCAGTACCAGGATTTTATTAAGGAAGGACTTTGTACTTTTATACGCTCTAAGCAATCAGAGATCTGTTTTATCACAGATTTTACACAAATCTTGAGATATGCAAACGGAGAATCTTCCCATAACTCAAGTAGTGCAGGCCAGGTCAATTTCAGATGTTTACCTCAGTCCCTCCACAATTTTATAGGGAAAGATTTCCACTCTTCTGCAGCAACACAGGGGCTACCGTGGACAGAGGGGAGTTGCATCATGGATACTAAGCTGCCATGGCCTGGCAGAAGTTGTGGACCCAAAAATAAAGGGTGGTCTGTCCTCGCAGTCTTACTGACTGGTCTGTATGGATTTAAATATGAAGGAAGCTCATATGAGTACTAGCAAGTTCTGGGCTACCCTGCTGTGCATCTCCATTTCTTTATGAATGTTCTGAAAAAGGTTACATCACTTAAGGTATCAGGCTGTGTGCAGTTGGCAGTAATGGGTTTCCAGTAAGCATGCTCTCACATATTGTTTTAGAATTGTTTCCTCTTCATGGGGAATAAGCTTTATGACGATGAAGAATATTCAACTGATAAGCCAAGCAACTCTTTTGAACAAGGCTGCCCAAGTAGGGTTACTGACCTCCCACAGAGATTACACCCACGTGTCTTCTCCTGCTGTTCATTTCAGGGCCGAAGAACCAGCTGTTCTTATTTATAGAGTAACACTCAATGCTGCGAAATGGGTCGCCTGATCCTCCTCTGCCACCGACACAGAACAGCACACCTGAAGGAGACAAAGGAGGTTTCCAGAGAGCTGGCAGAGAAAATAGAGATAAAATTCTACAGCAGAATAGACGGTAAACTACATACTTCAGGAGAAGCCATATTTCACTTCAAGGGGTGCAGTAATTGCCCTGTATATGGGATGATGGACTTTGGCATTTGTTTGGCATGCTTTTAGGGCAATTAACTGTCTACTCTCTTGTAAAAGCAAAGTGTATTTTAAACAGGCTTTTTTATGATTTGCTTAGGGAGAGAAACTGACTGCTACATCTTAAGTGAGCATAAAAATCAGAATTTGCATTCTAACATGCATCACTTGCTTTTGGTGTTGGCTAAGCAGAATTTAACAGCTAGCTCAACCTTCTGGCACCAAAAGGTGTATGTCCACTGGTTTCTGTACAGCTTTCTGCTTACTGCCTGCACATAATGCTTTTAACAGCTCTAGCCAATCAGATTAAATGCTGCTCTAAACAAAGAAACTGCCAAAATTCTGTACAGAAAGTGCAGCTCATAACCTAATCACCAGAGGGACATAATGGCTTTCCCAGTTACGCATTAACTTCCACCAAGCTGTCTAGTCCTATGCAGATGCGCTGCCTTTTCTCCACACCACTCCATACTGGATAATCAGACACACATTTAATTACCAGCAGTCTGCTTCCTTGGTGTTGTGCGAATGGAGTATTCAAAGTCTGGCACTGCCCTGCTGCTCAGGTGAAGGTGGTAGTTTCTTGCTTCATCCAGCAAATCCCTACATTTTAGATTCTGCTTGACAATCTCTTCCTTTGCCACAACACCCATAAGGAAACAAATGGGCAAGAGAGGCAGTCGTACCTGACAGAAATGAACACAGTTGGAGTAACTGGCTAAACTGAACTGGCCATTTACAGTGACGTACACATAACGGACTGCAACTTGCAAGCCAACTGTCAGCCCCACACTCTTCAGGAAGAAGAGCAGCTTTTGTTTTCTTTTCCAGACTAACCCTAATACAAAGGGTTATTTTTGGTGACAATTGTTTGCTGCAACCATTTGTGATTGTAGGCAAGTGCCTTTGCAGTGGAGGAAGGAGAAGGGCAGCTGCCCATACCAGGGGGGCATGAGCACTTCCTTCCTGAGCCAGAAACAGTCCAGTCTGCAGTTCTACTGGGATAGCACACTGCAGATTAGTGTGGTAATGGCAAGCCAGAATGGAAACCCTGTAAGGTGAACTAAGTGTCTGTTAAGGAGGTATTTCTGGTGCAGGAACACCATTCTCTAAGGAGGGCTTGCCAGACCTCGCGATAAAATGAAACAACCAGCTACAGCTAATTGCCGAAGTCTGGAGGGAGCAGAGGACAGACTGGGTGGCAGAGAGGACTACAAGGCAGGAAGTACAGTCTTTTCAAACAAGACTATAAAATCTTGGCATCGGGGTCACACTGGAATATAATAGCAGGAGAAGGTTCAAGTCTGTTGAAAAGATTAATGTGAAAATAGTGGGAAGACACAGGACATAAAGGAGAGAGAACTGTAAGGATGTAACTGTATTGGCAGATGTCGATACAGCGAGGTTGTTACTGCATAGACAGACTTCAGTTTTCCTAACGGCCATTATTACCAAGGTGTTTCTTTCCTCAAATTCTTCTATCCTTCCTTAGAAGAGATGGTGGTCAGGCACGATGGCAAGGCTGCCTGGGTGAGACCACTACCAGCAGCCACTGCCTGGAGCAATCCCAAGGACAGAGCAGATCTGAAGTGAGATCAGCCTCAAAAAAACTTTAAAACATCCCTCCCATAGGAATTTATTTCTGCAAACCTTTCGTTTGTCCTTCTGGGAGAAGCAATGAGGAATATAAAGGACAATTGAAGTGGGGTGTCAAAAGGAAGGCCAGCAAGTGGGACAGGTCTGGAAGGTGGCAAACTGAAGTAAAGCAGTGTCTTGCTTTCAATGAGCTCCCAGATAACTCAGCAAGGTGAAGGACAAACCCAGCATCTCAGGAGCTTCTCAGAGAAGCAGAACAGTGCTGTTACACAAGTGTCCTTGCCTCTCCCTTGCAATTCTTCCTAAATCACTTGGGTTCAACCCCGTTTCTTCATTTTGTTTGGCACTGGTTTATTTGAGGCTGACTCAAAGCACTGCCACTGCCCTGCTAATAGACTCGGGAGGTTAACGATGCATGAAGAACTCCAGGCTGATGAAAATTCAGAACCTTATGATAATAGGAAAGCCCCTAAGAGTGACATCCACTGTTAGGAAGCCTAGTCCTGCTTTCTGCTAGGAATAACATTGTATTCAACTCTAGGCTCTACATATCTTACTAAACAGCCCTTATTTACAGTAAGGGTTTTACTTTTTCAGTGCTTTGCTCCAGACTCTGGACAAAGTTATTAATCAATCTGCTAACATAACTGTATTATAAAAATCAACTGCATCCTTTTAAAAATCTCCAATTACATGGCCTGTATATTGAAAGGAGATTTTTTGCACCAAAAACTGAACTGTTTAAACTGACACTGTTTAAACAGTTGTGGTCTTTTACAGGAAAAATTAAAAATGCTGTGTCAAGACAAGAACAGCACCATGTTAGCAGACCTCCTGTTACTCCCACGATGCAAATACAATGAATGCAGCATGTTCCCAGTGGAGTTCAGGGACAGCTGTGAGACCCCCAGCTGCTCCCATTTACTATGATGCATGTGGCACTCTGCAGCATACAACGTGTTCCTCTTCCTCCTCAGGGCAGGTTCCTATCTCAAATGCTTGATTTTAAGCTTCCATAATCAGCACGTGCAGAGCTTAATTGTAACAGTCCACGTTTTCACAGGAAGGACTCTGGGTGTTCATCCAAGTGACCCTGTGATGCCATTACAGGTTTCTCTCAGCAATGAACACTTAAGAAACCTAGGGGATTAAACTGCACACTCCTTTCGGAGCCTACAGGTAATCAGCAGTACTTCCCTAGCTTTAAAGGGTCTGCAAAATCTTGGCCTTTTGTTATTTATGTATACAAACATTCTTGAAGTAGCATCACTTGATGACTTATCCCTAGCCACCTAACCCTTCAATACCCCTTCAATGGCTTTGCTCTCCTTTCTAAGTACAAACGCTTACCAGCAAGGGAAATTACATATGGGCTGTAGTAACACTGAGCCACATGCAGCGACGGCTCTGTGTTCTCTACCTCCCCGCATGTAAAACTAAGGATATTGTGCTGTGGCACAGATGTGGCTTTTTGTTGATTTCCCCTTCCTCCCTCTGCTGATGACCTTACAGCAAGTAATCTTTTTCTTGACAGAAACCGAGTAACATAACTCGATGCTGATATTCCCAAGGCCCAACCTGCTTGCACTGTCAATAACCGTGAATACAAGACGAAGCACCAACTGCTATAAACATTTTTCTTCTTAAAATCCTCCTCAGTAAAAGCAGCTTACACAGAAGCAAATCAGTGATGCCCGCCCTACCTGTGCGAGAATTTCATCCAGCCACGTGGCATGATGCTGCGGATTGGCTAGCAGCCACTTGATAGCAGCACTGTAAACCTGCTTTTCGTTTTCAATGTTCAGGTCGCTGGAGGACAACAGTTTATGGAGGTGCTGAGGTGAGACACTCACAAAGTCTTCACATTCCACCACCTCTGTGAAATGTTCACAAGCGTACTGGTCGGCCATGTCCATCAGGTCAATGCGGTTGTGGCTCTCTGCAAATGACCTGACTGCCAGGCAGTTGGAGGGATGGAAGTGCAGCTTCATGTATTCGCAGCACGCCTTTGCTACCAGTTCCACCTGAAGAATGCAAGCAGCATACAGGAGTGGCTGGACATTATCCACTGTCAGCGTCAGCCGGGAGGAGTAGACAAACTTCACGAGGTCTTCTATCGCATCGCCATCAAAGTCCCTGATCTCAATCAACGTCTGCTTGGCTTCAGCCATTTCTGAAAGAAACATGGCTCTGAAGTAAGGTATAACACATGCCAGCACCAGTTTGTGGCAGGAGATGAGCTTTGTACCAACCTGAGAAAAAGAGAACAAAACTGTTTAACTGAAACATTAGTTTCAGTAATTTTCTTCCAGCTATAAGAGACAGCTAAGCTGGAAAGGTAGACTTCTGGGCCCAATATACATTGAGCTTCTGTATTTTGCTGAAACAAATGAACTCTGTCTCCCTCACACTGCTGACGTTAGACCAGGGCATCCCAAGCAGATTTCACTTGTAACCTGACCACCAGAGTAGGACAAGGTTGTAGCAGAAAGAAGCAGTACTAAGAAACTAAGAAATACTTAATGTTTGTAGGTGCTGGCAGCCACAGCTGCAAATGCTAGTTATAAATTTCCTGTGATCATGATGTAAGTAATAAAAAGCTGAGCTGAAAAGAATGCATTTAAAATAACACTGTGCAAGAATAACAAAACTGGTTTCCTCCTTTTTGTTTCCTCTTTGATCAGTTGTAGAACAATGTGATTGAGGGTTTTTTTATTTCCCAGGAGAACACTGAAAGTTAGATTTGTTACAGAAATCCTGTTTGCCCACAAAAGATCTAGCACAGAAACACAGAATGCAAAACTACGGACAAAATTTGGGATCAAAGTGTATGAACAGAGAGGCTGCAAGGAGCTGGAAGCACACAGAAATGACATAGTAGAAAATAAATCAACCATGAGAACTTCCTTACAGGACAAACTGGGTGAGGTGAGTCATGTACTTGCTCTCTTGGATTGTCAGTATCTTAATTGCTTACATTTTAGTTGTGACCTTCGTAAATGACGAGAAATCTAAGAGCTTATGTAGAAATGCCTCAAACATTCTGTTGCTTCCATACCCCTGCACAAACTCACTGCCATCTCCAACGCATTTATAACTTAGTCTTCAGATTGTTAAACACAATGAATGTGGGTGGTCTTTGTCACCTTCAGTGTAACATCGCAGAGCTCTCCAGCCTCAAAGAAGTGAAGAAGAGAGCTGTGGAAATCTTTCCAAGCCTCGTTTGCTTCGAATACAAAGATATCATCTTCACCATCACCGCTGGAAGATCGAGTTTGCTGCTGCTGTGGTCGCCTTTTTCCCTTCACTGGATGTTGTTTTGCCTGCTCTGGGACCATGGATTCTGAAGCCATTGGTTGTTTCGTCTTTTGCAGCGTGAACTGTCAAATATTCCCACCAAGACAAAGTCCAGCCCATGAGGAGTCAGTCCTGAAATGTAGCTAAGTTCTTTTCATCTTCCTATCTAAAAGCACACACACACAAAAAAAAAGACAGAGGAGATATCAAGTACTGTCAGTATCCACCATCAGACTACATTCTAAAATTACTACCTCTGATCTTATTCAGGGGAGCGGGAAGAGGGAGAGGGGAAAAGAGACCCACAGCAAATCATATGCAGGTACCTTTGGGAAAAGCCTTTATGAACTTGCTCCCCACAGTTGTTGAAAAAAGATATGAAGGAGGAAAGGCAGTGACGTGTCTTCTGCCATTCCTCACCGAACATCTGTGGATGGCAGATGAGCAGAATGCCCACGGATCACAGGCAGATGGGCTTCTCTCCTCATCTCATCATGGCTGCCAGAGACAGAGTGCTGATTTGACCCCAACAGGTATGTTTGCACATAACTTATTACTCAGTTTTCCTCAATCTCAACAGCTAGAGCAATCCCAAAGTATTATCTGTATTTATGCATATGTAAGCAGTATATAAAAATAAAACCACTATAACATTGTTTCAGCAAGAATTAAAGAGTAAAGGAATTTATGTTTAAGAAAAAATCCTGGAATGAAAATGATTTCATTTTACTCAATTTTACTCAATATTAGCCCAGAGATGGATGTTTAAAGCATGAAAATGAGCGTCCAGTAAAAGTCTGTCACTGCTAGCTTTTATTTTAGCTCAGCCTATCATAGCTGAAGATCGTTTTGCTGTTTAAGATTCATGCAGTTCTGACAAAGGAGTTGTGGTTGTTCTGCTATCACAGCTTTCCCAGGATTGAAAGACACATCTGGGATACCACAGAAAATAGAGAGAAGGTTTACTTTGGCTTCTGTCACACAAATACTCGTTCTAATACTGTGACCTTCAGCCTGGCTAAGTTTGAAGTCCACCTTTTTATTTGTAGATAAAACTCAAGCAGTAGGGAAGAGCACGTAGTTTTCCAGCTTGATAACACATGTGAAGTTTCAGCTCTGTGTGTCTAACACCCATGACAATTTGCATCCCATTAAGTCAATAAGATTTAGGCTGTGCACCCACTTCCACATGCTTTGTGGAAGATGGTAAAGCCCACAAAAAAAATATGAAATACTACTTGAAAGCATGAAGTTATTGATTCAAGTTACAAGCTACTGGAGTTCTGCTATATTCTGGCAAAGGAGACCAACAGATTTGAAGGGTTAAAAGACAAACACAAAGAGAATATTGAGTAGTGTGTTCCTCTATTATATTGGGATACCTTTTGTTTTGGTGTTTGCTGGTTAACTTACTGTGCATTCTAGTAAGAAATGATCCTTGCTCTAATTCAGTGATTTCTGCTTCTGGGCTCTGGCACTGGAGGAAGTTGACTGACTGAAGAAACAAAACAAAGCTTTTAAAATAAAGGTGTAAGTCATGTGGGTGGGCGCAGAACTACTGTTCTTCTGGAATATTTTTGAGGTATCCGTGCCACTTAATACATTTACAACTCCTCATGCATCAGAAGGAGCAGGAAGTGACTCCAGGTGATCGTACGGCCTCAGTCTCAGCGTTGCTGACAGCTCCACATCCTGTGTAGTCACAGTGCTGTTGGCTGCAGTCAGCCAGGCAGGTTACAGTGAGATGAAACGTGCTTAGAATATTTACTAATGCTGCAGTAAACAAGGCATCCTTCCTGTAAAAGAGATCCAAGAAAAAGACCAAAGTTGGAATACTGTACAAGGGTTTTCAAGAACGTCATGTGTTATTCAGACAAACAATGGTACTTTTATAGCCGAGCAGAAGTGCTGCTTTCAAACAGAACTGCCACTGATGACTAAACAATGCTTTGCAGCTCATAAGTCATACGGTTATTTCAGTTGGTATTATGTACTAAATTTATGTGCATGTTTTAACTGATTGCACATATGGCTTTACCACACGCATGTGGCTCTTTGTAGAAGTGGCTGCTGATTGTAAACCATGGTTTTTGTCCTTATAGGATGCCCATATAAAATGAAGCTGCTGGAGATGGTCTGAGCAATCATCTGGATGAAAAGAGCACAGATGTGGACTGATACATTTAGTACTGGTTCTGCAGGAGCAGAAACTGGAGGCCTTGGTCCCCTCACACAGAGGAAATCAGTTACAGACACCACACGTACCAGGAAACTCTCAGTATAAATCATGGCAGTATCAAGTAAGTGTGCGGGCACACAGAATGGCTTGGGTTGGAAGGGACCTCAAGGGTCATCAAGCTCCAGCTCCCCTGCCAGAGGCAGGGCCACCAACCTCCACATTTAATACTAGACCACATGACAGTAGGTTACTCCTCACGTAAAAAGAAGTTTCTTCAAGGCACTAAAGTTAACAGGCTTAAAATACCTGAATTTATAATTCAGACACTGATCAGTCTCACACACTGTGGCTTCATTGTGATGAGACTGTGACAGATATTAATATCCTGGGTAAAAGTTTTGTTCTTCCCCCACGTCATCAATTCAGGAACATCTTGCTTCTGTGACGTTTCTTGCTTCCCAAATCACTCAGATACTCTGTCCATAAATCCTCGACTTGTCTTAATTACAGTATCTCACATTTTGAGTCTTCAAACAAACCATCATCATCTGTGGAAAACAGCAGCTGAGATTATGAGATAGCTGCACCTTTGTAGGAGATGGAGGTCTCTGTAGATATCCAGCTGCCTGCTGATAATTAAGAGCTACCAAGTTGCATGAGACTTGAGAAATATCACTGCCAATGTTCCTATCATTTATTAAAGAAATCAAGCAATGTTTACAACCAGACATTTAACGTATGTCAACAACCAATGCCATAAAGAGCCTGTCATATAAAAATGGTGCACTTATAGAGTTAAGCACGGAAGTAATACTATGAGATGTAATACACAACATTAAGGTCATGTATTTGCAGTCTATCAGGAACCTGGCACAAGGAGAGATATTTAATTTGCTGAAACTAATCAGGCTGAGCTGATTTAAACACCCAGCAATCAGCCTCTACTGTCCTTATACTTTAAACAGAACAGAAATGAGTTTTAGTAGTCCTTTAATCAGAACAGTAAACGGAAATCTGAAGGTCTTGCAGAAGTTAGTGAAGGTCAGTGTACTTCAACACCAAGCCTACTCTTCCTCCTAGTCTGAACTGGAATGATAAATTATTTTGTCATTGCACGGACTTAAAGGAATAGCATAAGAAAGTGGTATTTTTCAACTCCTGAGCAATGCAGAAGTACACTAGTTTAAGCATCACTTGCTAGGAGGCTTAATAAGCATTTAGGTTTGTGTGCACAACATTCTCTCAATTATGCACTCAGAATCCACTGACTGACACAGAAAAGCCATTCAGATGTCCCTCAAATAAACAAGAATGCAATAATTGCAGCCAGCTGCTTGAGGTGAGGTTAGCACTGGCTGAACACTGCACCCAAATGGAGGCTTTCTTCTCTGAAGTGTTGTCACAGCCAGTCATAACCCTCCTTTCATCTCAGCAGTGAAGAGCTCTGGCCTGCATACAGCCTGACTACACACTTCCACAGCATAAATGATTGGCTCTAAGGAATGTGAAGGAAGTGCCTCATTCATAACATCATCGGTTGTTACTCTGTAGACAGCCACTTTGCACTTTTCATAGAAGAGTAAACTCACCGATGCAAAAAGGCCTTACTCCCTGTTTACAACTCACCATTGTTTGCTGGCATCAGCTCAGCAATTTTACTTCTCGAGCTGTAAACATTTAGAACATTTGTCATATCTGTGTTGGCAGCGTGCAGCTGGCCGGAGCTGATATTCAAGGATCCCATCTGAGCCCTTCTTTACTACTGCATGTATTCAAACAAGCAGAGATGGTAGCTCAGAGCTCCCTTACATTAGAACTGCTTTGGTTCAGCTAAGAGGAACATCCCAAAATGAACTGCTTTAGGTTCGGTCATTTCGGCCAAATCATCTGAAATTGAAGTGAACATAAAACAGAGCAGTTGCCTTCAGTGTAAGTAACGTGCCTCAAATAACTTTGCAGCTAAAGGGGATGGGAGCATCAGCCACAAGCAGGACAGGAATGTCACTCGTGAAACGAAGGAAGGAAACAAGGAAAGGATCCTCCCCTGTGACACTGACCTGGGAGAGGATTGTGCTCCTGCCTCCGCTGCCACAAGCAGAAAGATGCATCCATGATACAAGAAACAAAAGGGCTCTGTAACAACCGCAGTGAGGAAGTGCTCAAATGAGGGGTTCTGTGACACAGGTAGATCCAGCGCTTGTTTATCGGTCCCAGTACTGAAGTCAGAAAAATAAGAAGCAGCCCAATGTCCAGGAGAATTAAAGATACAGGTAAGGCTTTACCCACACTCCCGTATGTAATTTTGGTTACTCACATGCAAGGCAGACAAAATTCATGTTTTTACCTGTGCAGGGACAGACAGGCATCTAATCAGGGAACTGAAAGGGCCCGTTAATTACAGCAGACTAGAGATTTGCCTTCTGTAAAGGCAAAATACGTAGCTCTAAGAGCAGGGAGTTTTGGAAAACAACTACAAACGGAATGCGTGCACATAAATATATATCATTTTGCACATGCAAATGTGTAGAACTAATTAGTTAAAATGGAGCCTGATGACTCTGCAGGTAATTGTATGGTGCTGCTGCCTCCCACAAGGTTACATGAAAACATGGGAAAGTTCAAGTTACATGCTGCACTGCAAGCCTATGCTTAGTTTAATTCTCATTAAGTACACCTGAAAATTAAAGTAACAACAAAATTCAGATACCACATGCATAACTGGTATAGCTTGTTTGAAACCACTGGGCTTTCTGGTTTAGAAAACTATAAAAAAGTTATCTTAGCACTACTGGGGGATTCCTAGGTGCTTAAATAGTTTCCAAGGTTCTCCGTAGCAAAAGCTGGCAGGCATAACAACTGGTTTGCATTACTTGTCACACAGGTATTTTGGAAAACTGAAATGGGTGGATGAAAAGCTCTCTTAATGTAAAACCAAGAAGAAGCTTTTAGCTGCTTCTATAACCAAAATCACAGCAGTGCCATAGGCACTGACAGCAAATGAAGGCCACTATTTCTAGGAAAAAAATGTGACAGAAAAAGGACAGAAACAATGTTTTGCAAAGCAGAGATAAAAATCTTACTTTGGAAATAACTCTGCAGAAAGAGCGGTGATGCAGTGACACAGGCTGCCCAGGAAGAAGGTGCAGTCACTGTCCTTGGAGGTGTTCAAGAAGAGGGAAGATGTGGCACTGAGAAACATGGTTAGTGGGCATGGTGGGATGCATTCGGGGTTGGACATAGTGATGTTTAGAGGACTTTTCTAGCATTTATGATTCTATGAACCAAACTCATCAGGATCCCCAGCATAGTGAGGAAGGACTCTGCTTTACAGATAAAAATAGTACTTAAGAGTCACTTTGTTTATTCAAGGTAACCCTAGGAATGCCCAAAAAGTAGAACAAAAAATAAAAAACACTGCAAATCCATGCAGCTCTCAAGAGCAGGGCAAAATGTTGACATACGTACTAAAAGCGAAAGAAATGGTTGCTGGTACTTCATGTCTGTAAGAAAAAAGCAGACTCATACCAAGGATTTCAATTAAAAAACAGCAGTCTGATGGTCCCTACAGCAGCATTTACTCCAGCCCTTCCTAGGAAGCATTAAACTGTGAGCAAAACAATTTCCAAGAAGCTGTTTCCTAATAGCCTATTATCCTGGAGCTGTAAGCCTAGGAGTGGTACTTGAGCTGTAAACTCTTTCAGCACCTGCGCACAAACAACGGGTGCAATCTCAGCACAGCAGATTTATAGATAAGAGTTCAAACATGGATTACAGAGTAACAACCTCACACTAATCCAATGTTTCATCTCTAGAAGACTACTGAACCTTGCACAGCTTCACCTCCGTAACAAGCAGAGCACACCCACCTGTTAAGATTTAAGCCTGCATGCATGCATTCAGTGTGGGATTTCAGCTGCTGTGGTACTTTTCTGTGTAAAATACGCACTGCTTGTGCTTCCAGCAGCCTTTATGACAGCCACAGAACACTGAACACAGAACTCTGCATTCTTTCACCTTTATGGTCTCATCGTACAGGAGAATTATAGAAAAGGGTACATAGGAACTAGGAGATGAACCACCTGCACATCCCTTAACGAGACTTCTGTAATTGCAATTTCCCAGCAACCAATAAGGAAGCGGCCCGGGGGTTTGGCAAGATGGAACCCATCAGCACACAGAAGACACCTGGGCAGGGCAGGTTATAATGGGCAGAAGGCACACTTCCCTTTTGCCCGAGCAGAAAGGAAGCGCCCGGAGCCCCCCCCCCCCCCGACAACTACAGGTAATTTTTTTCCACCGTTTAAGAAACACCAGAGTTGCTGTGGTTGCTGTGACCCTCCGCCACCCCCTCGCAGCCCGGGGCTCCCTTCAGGGCGCAAAGCCCGCTCGGGGCCGGGCCCAGCCCAGCCGCGCAGCGCTCCCCGCTGAGGGCCGCGGCCTCTCGGCGCTCTACCTCCCTCTCCCTCGAAATGGGCTGGGGCTGCTGGAGCCACCCGAGGAACTGTTCATAGGGCAGAGTGAGGGGCGAGAGGAATCGGGGTGATGGCGAGGAGGGAAGGAGGGGTGAGTGAGGGCCCGGCGCCGCCGCTCACCTGCGCTCCGCCGAGGGCCGCCGGGAGGAGGGGGCGCGCAGCGCGCATGCGCGGTGGGGAGGCGGGAAGAAGTGCTGCGGGGCGATGGTTTGGGGCTGTGGGGCCTGGGAGCAATTCGGCTCAGTACGAGTTGCTTCTGGCAAGTGTCGAGCCTCGGGGGATAGCTCCTCGAGGTGATGCACCCGCTGCAATGGGGGAGTGAAAGGATGACTACGCTTAATACATTTGCAGAAAGGGGTGAGTGGCTCTAGGTGACTGAAATAAGGTATTTCTGAGGAAATAAGTGCTTTGAATCCTTTTATCTCTTCACCCTGTATTGCTCTGTGTGCGCTAAATCACCACAGAGCCCTTCTCCACAAGAGCTCATCAATGTCTCGGTGGGTTTGTTGTTGGGACTGGGGCTCCTGGCATGGCTGTGTGAGGAGGTGAAACTGCTAAACTAGCTAATGCTAAGCAAAATCCACTTGGTTGGTAGTTAAGCATACTTAACAATACTTGCCTTCACAAAACTAGTTAATGCTAAGCAAAACACAGGATCAAATGATAAGCAAAGCATCATTTATTTACCTAAGAAGCCCAGAAAATCATTGTTGTCTAAGTAACGGCACAAAAATAGCCAGATGAGAGTAAATATGGAGTGCTGCAATATCAGTATGGCAAATAACATCTACAGTGTCATGTACATGATGTGCTTTTCAGCATACCATCTCTTGCAGTGCAGGTGCTGATGATGGAAGTCTCCAGACTGCTGAACTCTGCTCTAGACCAGCAGCATTTCATCATCATGTGGTCATTGAAAGATTATGTAAGTTCTGTCCCACTGCTTTTCGCCATTGCAGTTTACCTGTGACAAGCTGTAAGCAGGCACCAGTGAGCACGAGTGCCTGGAGCTGTGTGAAAACTGCAGCTGTGGTTGTGTACACAGGATTTGTTGTGAGCAATGAATGTATTTCCCTGCTGCACATCTGTTGTCTCAAGAACTATTTTGATTGTGAGCATTAAAAAACTGAGAATGCAGAGGAGAAATAGTTTGTATGAGAGCATGTTTATTCATGGTAACAGGAACATAGGTTGATGTAAACTTATTCCTGTTCTAAATAAGCTTTTGCAGTTAGGCTGGGTTGTTCTCAGTGCCAGACTCTCATGGTACCCTAAGTAGAAAAAGCAGCAGGTCTGCTTAGAAAAGAGCAAAATGCATGGCTAAGCGTGCAGATTGAAAGCATCTGCAAGATTTAATGTACCAGAAGCTTGTTTCAGAAAGGAATTTTATTGACAGTATTGCAGTGTTTGTGAATGGCCAGTGATCTTGGACATTTAAAGGTGGTGATATAACAAAAAATTAACTGCTGGGTTCTGGAGGTTCTGTGCATGTACAGTTCAGTTTTATGAGCCACTGCCTGAAATTTGATACAATTGCATGCATATTGATATTGACAACAAGTATTAAAAGTAGTGCCCCAGTCATGAGGTTGAGGCCATAGTGCATCCGGCTGCTCTAGATGAGTTACTTACATTGTCTGCAGGGAAAATGTTTGACTCTACTGGAGATGCTCAGAGCTACATAATTTCTGTTCTTAATTAGCACATCAGCAGTGCAGCCAGACCTTAATTTCACAGCTCAGCAGTGCTGACATTCTCCTGGCACGGGATTCAGGTCAGAGCTGTGGCTGAGGCAGGGAAGTGCCAGCTTCAGAGCTCAGGAGGAGGCAGAGCATGAGACCAGAGCCTCTCATCCAACTCACAAGTGCCTTAAGCCAGTGTGTGAGACACCAGTATTCAACTGTGGGACTTTAATGGAAGTTGCTACATGAGGTTTGATGACACAAGCTTCTGTTAAGTACCTGTAACAACCAGATTTTGGAGTAAGCTTGTCTCTTGTGGCCAGGAAGAGAACCGAGGAGTCTATGTGGCCTGACAATTTGATTCTCTGTCACTGGTGTTCATGGGATGAAGGTTTAAATTCTCTCTTATGTTCCTTTACACCAAGCAGAAATGAAAACATGCAGCTTAAATAAAAGCAGGAGTAGCATAAAACTACTTATTCAAGAGAAATGCAAGACAAAAAACTCCTTCTCAGATTTTGGGATTGTCTCAAGAAAGAGAGAACAGATACAAAAATAATTCATATGTATTGAGTTGGTCTCTGTTTCCATCATGACTCAAAACACACACTCCTCAAATGTTTTACAGCACGGAATGTTTGCCTTTTAAATGCAATCCATTTAGGAGGCTTACACGCTTTTGATTGCTTTAACTTATTTTCCGTGAGTGGAACACTGAAAACCCATTTCTCAGCCACAGGATTCATAAACTAGAATCCAATTGTCTCAGTGTAAGAAATGGTTCTTTGCCACACCTTGAATGCCCCGTTCCATGCGGGTTGTATAAGCCACAAAAGAAACTTTCCTCCCAGTTAGCCTGTCAACAGCACAAACTTAGGACCTACCTAAGAGCAGGTGGAGCCACATTAAAACTTCACCTTCTGAAGAATCCAAGTTTGCAGTATAAGTGCTCAGGACATCAATATGAATTACGCTGGAAGCCACTTAGTTCTAGCTCTGCTTAACCTGGTGGGTTTTCAGGCTTCCCTCAAATGACCACTTGCCAGCCAACATGTGCCACAGTCAGGAGTTGCAGAAATAGGCAAAAAGTTGATCTGTGCTCTACAGAGGTCTTTGACTGGCATTTCATCACATGGTACCATAGGGGAAAGTGTTCATACAGAACTTTGGAGGATTAACCTCCTGATCACTGCAGGTCTGACTAGAGCTGGCTTGAAAGCAAAACCTGGGATCATCTGGGGCTGTATCTCACACACTTGCAATGTTAGGTTTTCCTCCTGCACAGCATCCCTGTTCTGCTGCTCATCAGTATGTAGAAAAGCAGAGCATGAAGGGGAAGCCCAGAATCATCAGGGCTGGCAGTGCTGCAGCATCCTGTGCAGTGAATAGGATCAGCATTTCAGGGGGTGGGATAAATAATTGCTCACTTCTGTACGTGCTGTTTGAAAAGATAAAAATAGGTGGAAGTGTGTGTGTTAACTGCGTGTCAGTACTGGTTTAAATTTGTACTGCAATGATTGCATTAATTAGTTGAAATGAAGGCATAGCAAGGAGTCTCTGGCTTCCCAGTTGATGCCTTCTCATGTTCTGTACAGGCATAGGAGCTCCATTTCAGCTCACCCCAGGCACATGAATGAGGGGTATTTAGGCTTAGAATAGCCTTGGTTTTCCTTTTAGTAGAGGAGACACATAATGGAGAAGATAAACAGCAATTTTTATTAGGCTGGAGTAGTTACCTTTTAGTGTAAGGACAAAAACAGAACCACGCTTCCTCATTCTTATGAAAAAAAAAATCACATTTTGTGGTAAGCATGAAACAGAACAGGGCACTCAGTAATTTGTAGGAAATACTACACTTGTTTCAGAGGAAGGTGTTTGAATCTGGTTGGAGAATCATCAGCAATTTGAGAAATGACATCAGCAGAGGGCATATATTTCTTAACACTGCACCTTAAGTGCACCTGTAGGATGTGGTTGTGACTGTAACTGCTAAGAGACACCTGGTTAGAGAACTGCTTTTATTCTGTACAAGTTGTACTGGTGGAGCTCGTGCATAATGGACAATCAACATATTTAGGTAGTGGTTGATTAAGACGCTGTATTATTTCAGGTACTTACTACAAAAAATGCATTAAACTGTGTGCAGTACAAGGCTTTTTGAACTTAAAATGATTCATTAAGGTGAAGCAGGCCACCTATAATCATTCCTCCCCACAAGATAATTTTACTCTATAGGACCACATTAATTTATACTCCAATTCCACTGCACTCATGTAAGCAGTTGTGCACATTCCAGAGCAGTCCTTCTGACTTCTAGAGCTGCCTCTCTGCTCTGCTCTGCTAACACACCATGTTATGCACATCTGTTCCTTCTGCGGGTGTGGGATGGACCTTAAGGTGTGATGGGAAGCGGTGGCCTGGAAGAAGTACCCATCTTAATTCTGCTCTGAATCCAAATTGCTGTGCTACACTCAGCATCTGTTCTGCTTTCACTCATTTCATGGGGAAATGAGAAACAATTTCTTTTTCACTGATTGCTTCCACGCCCAACGACTGCATCAAACTTAACATCAGTCAGCTTTTTGAGATAATTCAAGGCACGTTCTGGAAGCAACCTGGAAGAAAAAAAATCCATGAAATTAAACCTAGGGTAAGAATTCAGGTTTTGGAGGCAGTGGCACCACAGGTGAGACTGGAGCTCATCTGGGCACAGAATGCATGTTCACATCAGACACCAGAACTTCAGTCTGAGGGGTACTTCCTAAAAACCCACTGCCTTCATAACTCTTTGTCTAGCTTGACCTCCAGTCCCTTCAGCACCTTCCTCTTTTTATGATCACTTCAAGGACAGATATCCACTGCAAAGATGTTGATTTAATTACTGCTTGCAGGTTTAATGTTGAATGTAGACAAGTACATTAAAATGAAATGAGAACTGACTTTGCTTTCAAAACCTCATCTGGTTGATAGAGAATTTTGGGAAAGCAAAAGATTCTTTATGCTGTCATAGAACAGTTTTGGCTGTCTCCTGGCTTTTATGGATAAGTTACTATGAAGTAATTGTTGAGATACTGTAGATACTAACTGGAGTGGTAATGTAGTTGTGATACAAATCTAGCTTTTGAATCTAAGCTGTGGAGAAAATGCAGCCCCAACAGAGCAGCTACGCTGGATGTCTAAGAAGTATGAGGGGACCAACCTCACTTCACATGGCTGAGGGAAAGCAGCAGAACACTTCTCAAGCAGCATTCCCAGCAGTTGTGACATAGACCTGGTGCTGCCGTGAAGAAATGAACACCAAAAAGCAGCAGATCCTTAACTGTTTTTGGAGATTATCTGGGGCTGCTGGTCCAGAGAAATTATTTTTTGCAAGCCCACGGGATATTCAATTTGTTATGGAAAAGCAATCCCTTTATCTTCTTCTGCATCCCTACCATATCCCAAATGGAGCATCTGAGTTCTTCACTCAGCACTTGTGCAAAAAAAATGGATCATAACTACCTACATGACAGCTCAACAAAACCCTCATGGTGTCTGCTGTTGTCAGTGGAAAGAAAAACAGTGCACTGCAATGCTGATTTGCCCCAACTTCTAAAATAGCACAAAATTGAATCTGATGTTACAAGTGCTTTCAAGAAATAGTTAGATGTTGTACTGGTTTAGTAGGAAATATTGGTGACAGGTGGATGGCTGGATGGGATGACCTTAGAGGTCTTTTCCAACTTTGGTGATTCTATGAAGTGTAATGCTTGTACACTTGCACTTATCCCTTGTGTTGTTACGTACCTTTCAAGAAGTAAAGCAAAACGTTGATTTGATGGAACAAAAACCATTTTCTGGTTGGTCACTATTCCTTCCATCAGTGCCTTCACAACTTCATCAACCTCCAAGATCTTTCCAAGCCTAAAATCAAAAGAATGCATATATGTAAGGGCAACAGTGATAAAAACATGGGCAGCAGCTGAATATGAAGTAGGATGCTTCACATGTGCATGAAGTCAGGTAAATAAAAGATCACTGCTATGTGGGGTATGTACTCAGTTTGAATAACAGGTAAAGCAGGGGCAAATATGTAATGCTGACTTCGGATCATTACCTCACACTGGGGTTTTTGACAAATCCAGTATTTATAAAAACTGGACAGAGACACGTTGTTTTTATTCCATCCTTTCCCAGTGAAGACAGCTCATCCGTTAGGGCTTTATGAAATCCAACTGCAGCAAACTTGCTTGAACTGGTGGAGGAAAAAAAGCACAAATCAGAAGGCATGAATGTTATTTCTGGCCTGATAGAAAGGAGCTGAGAGAACATGCAGTACTGACTAATGAAGAAAACAGTGCAATCCACTTGGGAAGGCAAGGACTAATTCTAATTTTTGCTGTCTTACAGCGTTTTCCTAAAATAGATATTGCTGCCTGGGGAAAACATTTTGGGATGTGAAGTGGAATATCTAAGTAGTCTCAGTAGTGAACTGTCAGAGGAGTGTTAGGAAATATTAATTGGCATGCGTAAGTCTGATGTTTTTATTTTTGAAAGCTGAATTCAGTAGACAGTGTAATGTCCAGCATTTCTTACTACAGGAGAAAACATGGACTAAGTCTGTAAAGCTAAGAAGAAAAGGTAAAAACATACAAGTATTACTTTTTCTTATGGCTACAGCAACTCACAAGAGCACTATGTTATTCTAAGAAGAAGGAAAGCAGATACCTTTTTCACCAATCAAAGTCTGGATCAGTTATGGGGAGGAAAAAAAAAAAACAGATTCCATTAGTTTATTTGTCATTTCATTAGTCTTTCACTGAAGCATTGTTCCCGATTCAGTCAGAGCTAACGAGTAAATCAGTGGGCATTCCCACAAGCACTTATGTGCTGAGTGCTGTGGGTTTTCTTCCTCCTTTGGAAGAAGCTTACTGAGTGTACGTATTTCCTCTCCATGTTTGCTGGTGGAGAAGACAAAGATAAGAAATGAAGAGAGCTGATTTTGAAGTCACTTACCAGTAAACCACCATGAAAGGAGTTACAAATTGACCTGCTGCAGAAGCCACTGTGACAATGTGACCATGGTTGTTCTTCATCATTGTTGGCAGAAAAGCTCTTGTTGTCTTGAAAGGGATTTAGAACAAGGACCAGAAAAAGGGTTGGGGGAGGAGGAAAATAGTAATGTCTTAAGTGTTTTTCAACGCTGTTCCCAGGTATGTGCAATTAAGTGACTAATGCTTTTCCTAATGCTAGGTAGGTTCTGAGAATCATAGAAATGCCCATTCTCCCTCCAGCTGATGCACTGGAAGGACTCTTTCAGCAAAGTCAGGTATCAGCAGAAGATGATATACATGGTACTCCTAGCCTGCTTTTCAGTTTCGCTTGTCAACAGCAGCACTACAGTATCTCTCCCCAGCACACACACAGTTTGTTTTTCCTCCTGCAAACGGAAATTCTTTAATACTAGATATGCTGCTGAAAGCTGTCCTATCCCCAGGATCTGATTGCCAGAGTCCCAAAGAGCCAAAACCCCAGCTCAGAGATATCCCAGCTGCATCACCTCCACACACGCTGCTGGTAGAGAGCTGGGAGAAGCCCTGCAGGAGATAAGGTGGCAGCACTTGCAGGCAGCGGCAGGACAGCTACAGGATGGGATTAAAGCAGTGCCAGAAGCCCAGAGCAGAGCCAGCAATGAGACAGGTACAAAATACTTCAGGACAAAGCCCTGCAGACTGGCTAATGTACTGGTGGCAGTCAGGGAGAGGCTGGGTCTGGCTGCACCACGTGGCATGGCTAAGAGCTAGCAGACAGCCCTGCTCTGCACCTAGCTCTATGTACCAAAGGCTGCCTTCTCTCAGGGACCAGATGATAACAAACCAAACCACTTTGCATTATATGAAGTTTTTCTACTGCTTGCAGGCTCTTGGTGCCTGGCTGAGAGTGCCCAAACAGCCTGACCCAAAGAGAGACATTAAAACACTTCTGACATAGACCAACCTACGCTGCGGGAGAGGCCATCACAGCCAACTTGTGTGGAAAGGAAAACAAGGGAGCCAGGACAGCCCCAGATCAGCAAGAGACAATCAAGTTTCCCAACAGCCAGACTGAGTGCATGTTTGCTATACACACAAAGCAGCAAGAGAATTTGGTAATTTGCCTGTAGTTTTAAATAACTGTTGGTCTAAATACATATCCTTAATAACGCTTATGGAGGCATGAACGTGCTGGAGACCCTTACCCAGATGTGAGCAAGAATGTTGACTTCAAATGTTTTCTCAACTTGGTGGTCCTGGGTGGAGAGCAGGTCGGCAGCTGCAATCACACCAGCATTATTCACCAGGATGGAGACATCACCAATGTCCTTTTTCACCTTTTGGACCAAAAGATGTGTAGGTGAACGTCACTTGTTAACACACAAAGTCCAAGGTTGTGAGTAGCAAATGATTTAATTCTTACAGTGATTTTCTTGCAGTCAGGAACATGCAGTGTCCTTGTTGCAGCCAAAACCACAACAGTCCTGAAAGCTGATTTAGATCTGATGTTCTTCCCTTTTTTATTGCCAGTTATTACAGTGTTCTACGCATCACCCATGGACAAACATGCTCTACAATTACAGCTGGCACTGTGGACATACAAAATGATTTGAACCATTCCCTACAGTGCAGCCTTATACATTTTTATGTCTGTTCCTCAGCAAGGCAGTAGCAGGAAGTTTGGTTGCAGGGTCTAAAGTCTGAAGCACGAGCTCAATAGGACAAAGGCTCCCAGATTAGGATGGGACAAGCTGCAGTACCTGAAGGTATGTATGTACAGCAGCAAACAGTGGTGAGATTGCAGGGGCTTGCACAAACTGAGTGGGACACCTCGGTGCTGTCTTCCAGCACTTCCCAAATCGAAGCACGTTTGGGTAAGCCCTGGCACATGCACCTGCTCCCCTACCTTCTCGGCAGCGCTGTAGATCTCCTCCCTTTTGCTGCAGTCCACCACAAAGGTGTGAACGGTGGCTCCCAGCCCTTCGCATTCTGCTGCTGTCTCCTTGAGGCCATGCTGTGGGAAGAAGGATGCATGTATGACACGGGTGCCACGGCCTCGGAACAGCCCGTTTATCCACACCGCGGCCCTAGCCTCACCGCCTCGACGTCCCACAGCACCAGGCGGCTCTGGCGCCGGGCGAACTCGCGGGCCGTGGCCCTGCCCAGCCCGCGGGCAGCGCCCGTCACCAGCACCAGCTCCCCGCGGACGGTCTTCCTCTTGGCGGGCAGCAGCAGCTTCACCAGCGCCTCCACGTAGGCGTACAGCAGCGTGCCCAGGAACACCAGCACCTCCAGCGCAGAGTTCATCTTGCGACCGCTCTGCACGACCGCGACAAGTCAACGCACGCGACCCCACCGGGCGACGGGGCAGAGGGAAGCAGCCAATCGGGAGCGCGCTGTGAGCGAGGGGCGGGGCCAAAGGAGGGGCGCAGCCAACGGGATGGTGGCGCCGCTGATTGGCCGGGCTCCGCCCAATGAAATGGCGATGAGCTCTCGGAGGTGGTCACGTGTTTTGTTTAACAAACAAAACATCTTAAAATCGTAGGTAGGAGCTGGTGGTTGTTGCTGCAGGAGGGGGTTGTGCGCTACGTGAGCAGTCAAAAGCATGGGATGGAGGTTTGACAGAGCCCAGAGTCTGAGGGCACAGCTGCTGCAGTAACGCCCTTCCTGTTTTGCGGACAGTGGGGGTCACTGAAGTGACCTGGGAATATTTGTTGTTAAGAAATGATGAAGAAGTTGTGATTGCTTGCTGTCTATCATTTATTCAGGCTTAGAAAGTAAGCAGACAAGGGTGGGGAGAGATATTCACTGTGACCCACGCTGGCTTTGATCACCTCTTTGCTGATCTGTGGTTTCAATGTGCTGGTGACAAAAGGCATGAAGGAAGCAGAAGACGATCGGAAAGCAGCAGTATTTCATAGGCGACAGCCCTGGTTGTTCAGATAGGTATCTACAGAGTGAGAACGGAATTGCAGAGTAGAACCAATGGCATTAGTGGCTTTAGTCTATTGATTGATGCATGATGTGAAGCACATCCCCAACAGTGTCGTCAGCTTTGGAAAACAGAGCCCTGTGAGCAGGTGACCGGGCAGCTGCTGGTGGCTGAGGATAAAGCTGGCTGTCCTGTGATGAGTCAAAATAGCATTGGTTTTCATTTCACGTGAGGTGCTTACGTTAACAGAGAGCGCTAAAGGTGAAAACAGAAAAATAAGAATTCTGCAAGTACCATGCTGAACAAGGCATAAAAGCTGCACTGCTCCCAAGAGCCGTGTGTTATTTCTGGAAGGAAAAAATTCTCTAAAGACTGTTTATTGCATAATTAGAATAATGCAAGTGAGGAATAGGCAAATGTAGTGGTAGAGCTTGCTGCAGGATTGTCTTCTGCTATGAGACGGGTGGCTTACCTCAGACTCACAGCAAAACAGATGGCTAAGCATGCTTGGGGCGTTTCTGGAGGAGGCGAAGAATGGAATGCAAAGGAAAGAAAATGGTCCTTTCTTGTGGGTACTGTGAAAGGAGAGAAATTGTGCATCAGTGTTTCCCAGTTCAGTACCAACCCCTCCAGGTAAATCTGAATGTTAGAGCTGATGAGATTCAGTTACTGAGAAACAGAAGGCTTACCTGTTCTGAGCTGTCTGAACCGGAGCTTTCATTGCTGTCAAGTTGCTGCTGTAGAAAAAGTATGATGTGGTTTTTTTTTGTTTTTTTTTGTTTTTTTTTTTTTTGAGCAAAGCATAATTAATTGTACTTGCTGGGGGGTTTTTTGTTAGTTTTATTATCAACAAAAATAAACAGGTACTTCATTGTTGTTTTTAAAAATGCATATATTTTTAATCAACGTGTCTTGTTAGAATGCTACATCTAAGAAGGGAATTGATCTTCAGTGTCTGAAAAATTGTCAGCTTAATTCTGTACTGTTGGAATGAGGACTTGGTTGATGGGCTGGGTGTGAGCTTGCTATTTATTGTTTTTGCTTTCAAGTCTGAGAAGGGCTTAATCTTAACCTGGAAATCTAGATTGGGAATACCATAAATGCATTTAGCCGTGTAACAACCGTTGATGTTCTTGAGGCTGTCCTGACAGATAAAAGCCATGTAATTTCCAGCTGTCAATGTTAAGATTTCCCACACTGGATGCCTGTGTATTTTTTGTTCAGTACTTACTGCATTGGTGACAGCAAGGACCATGCTCAGAATGCAGGACAGCAGCAGGAACTTCATTGTGAGAGAGACTCCTGTGAAGCAGACAGCAAGCAGAGTTACAGCTTTTGGCTGAAAAGGAGATGTGGAGGAGTAATAAGGCTGTCCTCTGAGAGGAGTGACAGGGAAATGGGGCAGCAGGAGCTGTGCTGTGAGTTGTGTGCACTACGTTGGGTGTCCTCGAGTGCCAGCCCTGTGTTTGAGCTGGTGATTGTGCAGCCAGGGTAAGTAAAGGGTGTTTTTTGAGTGGTCTTTGCCAGGAGCTGTTTCTTTGCAGCCTCACAGAAAGGCTGAGGGACCTCTGGAGCTGATGGTGATCACCCCCCTCCCATATCCAGGCCCCTCCAGCAGGGTCTGCAGGAGCAGGTTTGTCCAGGACTGTGTCCAGGTGGGATCGGAGCCTCTCCTGTGGTGGAGGCTCTACAGCCGGTATGGACAACCTGCTCCAGCACCTGCCTGCAGCATAGCTCAGGTAAGAGCCAAGGATCTGTGTTACCTTTGGGCTGCATGTTGAGCGGCTGGTCGGTGGATCAGGAGGCAGATGGCTCTGGCAACAGCAATGCATGGATGGCCGGTGTCTATATATATATGGTTTTGGGTAGTGTGGCTTGCATCAGAAAACCACAAGATGTCATGAGTCATATCTTGTTTGGACCCGCTGATTTTTCAGTTTAATTACTTCCCACCTGGTAAAGCAGCCAAATGTTTTAGTTGACCTTTATGATTTTTATATAATCCTTGGGGGATTGACAGGTTTGGCAATGGGAATGCGTGTTGTGTTTGTGCTGTGAAAGGAATGTCTGTTGTCTTTTTCACTATGGAAGTTCTCCTATTTAGGAAGTACTTGTGTGATAACAATGTCCAGAGTACTGAAGCTGCTAGGGTTACAGTTTCCAAATGGAAAAATCAGCTAATTGTGGAAACCTTTTCCAGGGTCCATGTGTATAACAACATCAGTAGAATTCACCATCAATGTGTTCATCAAGGAGAAGTCATGCCTGACAGACTTGACAAGGTCCTGCAATGAAACAGCCTGATGGATGAGCGGAGGGCAGTGGATATTGTCTTCTTTGGAATCAGTAAGGCCTTTGCCACTGTCTCCTGCAATGTCGAAAGAAATTTGACTTCTTTGAAAGAAAGTCCTCATCCTCAGTGAAAAGAACTGACAGTGACTGTAGAAAAGAAATAAAAGTGCCCCTCCAAAATGGGCAGAAGTGGGAATAACTGGAGATTGATTTGAGTAACGTGTGGAAATCCTAATCTGCCTTGGAGATGTAGTTGTTTGCCTCAGGGAACTTGGACGGTTTTAAGGAAAGTCTTCCCTGTTTGTCCTGATGAGTTCTGTTTCACTGCATCTTCTTCTGTCACTTAGCTGGAGCAGAGCCCCAGTTGGTTTTAAGCTCTGTGGAGAATAAGACAATCCCTTGTGTGCTGACCTTTCCTAAACAGGCTGATGAACTAGCTTTGATTGTTGTAAACAGGCTGAGCCATGGCTGTGGTCAGGCAGAACAAAATGCTGTCAAAACTTCTTCCTCCCTAAGAGATTTAAAGTCCTAGAGAAAGGCTCTTTATCAAATGGAATTTGCACAGAGCAAGCTAATATACACTAATCCAAATTCATGTATATGCCCTGCTGTGTGATGTTACAGAAGGTGCGGTGGGTGACATGTCAGGTTTACAGGAGGAACTGTCAGCAAAATATGTTTTGGTGGTCACCCATCCTTTTTTTATGAAAGATATTCCAGTGCTGAACTTTCTGATGGCTTTATTCATTGCCCCATGGAGAATCAGGCCGGAGTTGCACTGGGATAAGCCCTTGCTCATACGAGGGCAAAGGAGCAGGAGCCAGGTGGAGTTCTGTGTTCTGAGCTACCCGAATGGCATTTCTGAATGCCATTCCTTTTGACATGGTTCAGGTGAAGGCTGTTTTCTGATCTCACTCTGTAGGAAGTGTTTGGGGTCTCCTGCTTCCAGCAGAGTACATCTGGAGTGGTTGTTTTTGGTGAAGTGCTTGGCTTGACATCACAAACATACTCATATGTAATGATCTCCTTTTTTAAATTGCCATGTGTTCTGCCAGTATGCATTTGTAATGTAACTGTTCTTGGATCAGCCTGTTGTATTTTCCGTATCTAATTGAGTCTACATTGCCCAGTTTGTGCTTTGATTTACTTCTGTGTAATTCAGCACTCAGAACCCTAGCCAGAATAGAAATGTTAGTAAGAAATTGAAGAATTTAAAAGATCACTTGAATTTCTTCCTCCAGCTCTAATGATGTAACTGCATTGTCCTATTTGAAAGGGATTACTTACTTTTCTCTTTTCATTTAGAAATTCAGATATATTCAAATTGTGTTCATAATTGGATATAGAAGGATTTTTATCTTACCTACTCTAAGAAGAGTGAAGGCTCCATTAATGTCCAGAATTGACTTGTATAAGATCAGTTGTTAATAGAGATTTGGCTTTGGCTGCTTTGGCTGCACAGTTGCTCATCCTGTATGTGGGGCAGATGTTTGATTCCACTGGAGATGCACAGAACTACAGACTTGTTACTCTTCTCCTGGAACTTCTTTCTGTTCTTAATTAGCACATCAGCAGTGCAGCCAGACCCTAATTTCACAGCTCAGCAGTGCTGGCATTCTCCTGGCATGGGATTCAGGTCAGAGCTGTGGCTGAGGCAGGGAAGTGCCAGCTCCAGGACTCAGGGGGAGGCAGAGCATGAGTTCAGAGCCACTCATAAGTGCTCTAAGCCAGTGAGAGACACCAGTATTCAACTGTGGGATGTTACTGGAAGTTGCTACATGAGGTTTGATGGCATAGGCTTCTGTTAAGTACCTGTAACAACCAGATTTTGGAGTAAGCTTGTCTCTTGTGGCCAGGAAGAGAATTGAGAAGCCTAAAAAAACATTGGTATGCAGAACAAGGACTATCTTAGAAGCCACCCACTTCTTGGTGTATTTAATGTGGGCAGCGTATTCAGGCCTCCTGCAAATGGCCACTGGCCAGCCAATGCCTGCCACAGTCAGTTCTGTGAGTAGGCAGAAACACAATCTGTGCCCTGGAGAGGTCTTTGACCAGCGTTTCGTTGCATGGTGTTCTCTTGTATCTCAGGGCAAAGGCAGGTAGTTCATGCAGAGCTTCAGAGGCTTAACCTCCTGGTCATTGCAGGTGGCTGCCTCATGTCTGGCTTGTGAGGAAGAGCTGGGCCCATCTGGGGCTGTTCCCCTTATATTCCTGCTCATTGGTTTGGCACACAAACCTGTGTCTGGGCCCAGGTTCTGGCAGAGTATTCCTGCACTGCTGCTGCTCCTCTGCACTTGCACAGGGAAGAGCAGGGTGGAAAGGGGAAGCCCAGGATTATCCAGGGCTGGCAGTGCTACAGTGTCTTCTGCAATGAATGGGTTTAAGGTTTCAGAGGATTGGAATAGATAAACTCTCAGGAAGGAGAACAGGTATGGGGAAGCGTGTATGTTAACCGGAGTCAGTGCTGTTTCAACCTTATGCTGTAAGGAAAGCATTGTTCAGCTGAAAAGAAGACAGAGCCAGGAATATCTGGCTTACCAGCTGAGGCCTTCACTTGTATTCTACACAGTCATAGAGGCACTTCCACTTCAGCTCACCCCAGTACATGAATGAAGGCACAGCATATCCTTGCTTTTACTTCTAACAGATGAGCCTGACTTTTGAATACTAGAACAGATAGCATAATTTACACTAAGTTGAATTATTTGCCTTCTAGTATAGGGAGAAAAATAGTGCTATTTTTTTCTGCATTCTTATGAAATAAATCACATTTGTGGTGCACATGAAACAGAACAGAGCACCCAGAAATTTGTAAGGAAATCACAGAATCATAGAATGGCCTGGGCTGAAAAGGTCCACAATGATCATCAAAATTTAAACCCCCCTGCTACGTGCAGGGTTGCTCTGTTTTAAAGGAAGGTGTTTGTCTGGGAGGCAGAGAATATGTTACTTGACAACTTCTGGGTGGAGAACTGCATTTATTCTGTATAAGTTGTACTGACGGTGCTCATGCATAATGGACAATCAACATACTTAGGTAACACGTGATTAAAAGGCTGTATTATTTTAAGTACTCATTACAAAAGCACAAAACATGGAGTGTGCAGCACAAGGCTCCTTGAACTTAAAATGATTCATTAAGATGAAGTGGGACACCTTGAAGCACTCCTCCCCACACAAGACAGTGTTGCTCAGTGATAAGACCAGATTAATTTACACTCAGGCAATCCCACTGTATTCATATAGGTAGCTGCTCTTACCCCAAAATAGGGCTTGATGGGTTTCCTGTTTGCTACAGCACTAGGAGTCAGAGATCGTAGAATGCACAGCCAGAACAGTCCTTCTGACTTCTAGAGCTGCCTCTCTGCTCTGCTAACACACCATGTTATGCACATCTGTTCCTGCTGCAGGTGTGGGATGGACCTTAAGGTGTGATGGGAAGCGGTGGCCTGGAAGAAGTACCCATCTTAATTCTGCTCTGAATCCAAATCGCTGTGCTACACTCAGCATCTGTTCTGCTTTCACTCATTTCATGGGGAAATGAGAAACAATTTCTTTTTCACTGATTGCTTCTATGCCCAACAATTGCATCAAACTTAACATCAGTCAGCTTTTTGAGAACATTCGAGGCACGTTCTGGAATCAACCTGGAGGATGAAAAAAAAAAAAAAGCCAATGAAATTAAACCTAGGGTAAGAATTCAGGTTTTGGAGACAGCGGCACAGGTGAGACTGGAGCTCATCTGGGCACAGAATGCATGTTCACATCAGACTGAGACCAGATCTTAAATCTGGGGAGTATTTCCTAAAAACCCACTGCCTTCATAACTCTTTGACTAGTTTGACAGTCCCTTCAGCACCTTCCTCCTTTTATGATCACTTCAAGGACAGATATCCACTGCAAAGGATGTTGGCTGCAACACTGCTTGCAGAACCCTGGAAGGTTTAACACTGAGTAGAGAGCTGTGCTTATAAAGTGGCTTTTCTGCTTTCAAAAGCAGCAGTCTGAGGAAAGGATGGGATGGTAAAAGAGAGACCTTGAGGTGCACTTTCCTCTTCTATGATTTTTTTTTTTCTTAGCATGAGCCATGTCTCTTTGAGTCTGCTTGCTCCTAGCTTAACATGGAGTTATCTTAAGGGTTAAGACAGTAGTAACCACCACTTCTTTGTGGCTTTGCACACTTCTGCTGTCCAAATATCCCTTGGAATGCAGGAGTTGTTTCTTAACTGTCTGATGTTGAGTTTCATTAACAAGCTATTATGAAGTGTTTCCAGGGATGCTGTAGCAGTTAACTGAAGTGTCAGTGTAGTTGTTCTTATGTGAATGCCAGGTTTCCAGTCAGAGCTCCAATAAAAACAGAGCCTCACTAAAGCAGCAGCTACAATGAATATTTAAGAAGTCTGAGGACAAATTTCACTTCACATGGCAGAGAGAAGCAGCATTCTCAGCCTCCATGACCTATACCTTGTGGTGTTGACATCAGGAAATGAACAATAAAAAGCAGCAGTTGTTCAGCTATTTCTGGAGCTTGCCTGGGGCTGCTGATCCAGAGAAACTATTCTTTGTGAGCCCTGTGGCAATTCCCATTTGTGAATGGAAAGTGATCCCTTGATCTCTCTCTGCCTGAAGTAAAATATGGAATGACATAAATAACTCAATGCAGTGGTGAAAAACATTGAAGATAGTAGAAAATAAATGAAATCAGGTTGAACTAACCTTCTCGTATCAATCTGCCATGCAGGAGTATTTCTATGCTGCCAAATGTTGTATTTGACTACTAACAGTGCTAGTTACACTTCCTCCTACAGTGAGGCTTAAACTTGAAGCAGATGTTAACAGGTGTGATGCTTGTACACTCTTGCAGTTATGTTGCATCTTTTTTCCCCTTCTTTGGTGGTTTGTTTGTATGCGTGTGTGTGTGCACGCAACTTACATTTCAGAAAGTAAAGCAAAGCTCAGCTGTGGTGGAATAAAAACCATTTTCTGGTTGGTCACTATTCCTTCCATCAGTGCCTTCACAACTTCATCAACCTCCAAGATCTTTCCAAGCCTAAAATCAAAAGAATGCATATATATGAGATATATATGAGTGATAAAACATGGGCAGCAGCTGAATATGAAATAGGATGCTTCACGTGTGTGTGCACAAAGTCAGGTAAATAAAGGACAACTGCTATGTGGGACATACACTCCGTTTGAATAACAGAGGTAAAGCATGGGCAAATATGTAATGCTGACTTGTGACCATTACCTAGTACGGGGGTTTTTGACAAATCCAGTATTCATAAAAACTGGACAGAGACACGTTGTTTTTATTCCATCCTTTCCCAGTGAAGACAGCTCCTCCGTTAGGGCTTTATGAAATCCAACTGCAGCAAACTTGCTTGAACTGGTGGAGGAAAAAAGCACAAATCAGAAGGCATGAATGTTATTTCTGGCCTGACAGAAATGGATAGGGGCTGTAAGAACATGCAGTACTGAGTAGTGAGGGAAACAGTGAGAAGGCAGGGACTAATTCTAAGTTTTGTTGTGCCACATTGTAGTGCTGAAATACACACTGCAGCTTGGGGAAGACGCTATGGGATGCAAAGTGGGTGGCTTTCAGAAAGTTACCTTTATAATGAAGAGTCTGACAATGTTAGTGCATAAATCCAAAGTGTTTACTTGTTAAGAGTGGTGTTAGAAAATTCTTGGCTAGCAGAAACAGATGAACATATTTGATGCTAAGGATCTGAACAATGAAATCTGATTAAAACTCCTGGCTCAGGAGTTCTCCTGCTAAGAATAGTGACTCCCTGTGCAGGAACATTCTGAGGGAAAATGGTTCTGTTTGGAACCACCATAGTAGGCTAACAACATGCAGTCTGATAATATGCCATGTTACAGTTTTTCTGTAACTTTGTGCATGAGTTATAAATGCTTCTATTTTAAGTGGGCAGTGTATTGACCTCTCAGTAGTGACCTGATACTTGCAACACTAAGTATTAACATGTTTCTTCTATCATGTGAAAGGTTTACTGTCGAAGCCTGCATTTTACCACATGGGGGCAGAAGTATTTCTATACACTGCAGTCGTTGCTACAACTGCTAGAAATAGGAAAAGCTGCTCATTATATGTTCACTTGATAACACTACAGTGACTCACGAGAGCACTACAGTCTAAGAAGAAGGGAATAAAATACCTTTCTTAGTAAGCAAAAGTCCAGATCACTTATGGAGAGAAGAAAGATTGAAGATTGCGTTAGTTGATTTGTAACATGTCAGTCCTTCATTGGATCACCTGAATCAGTCAGAGCTAATAAGCAAATCAGAGGGTACCTCAATTGCTCCTTATGTGGTGCATGTTGTGGGCTTTTTCTCCTTAGCACTGTCCTTTGGAAGTAGCTTATTCAGTGGGAAGTTTATTTCTTTTACTCCGTGTTTGCTGGTGGAGAAGACACAATTAAAATTAAATGAAGA